TAATACAACGCAAGATAACGAGATATAACATGATACAATTTATTTACACTGGACTGGACTAGGAATGTTCCTATGGAGCCAGAGAGCAGAAATGTGAGTGTAGTTGTTTTTTGTTGCAGGAGATTGTACTTTCGTGCGTGTTAAGTGTTGTGGGAACGTTGTAGGCCAAGGCTTGGTGTCTATATGTAGTGCGGAAACGCGGTACGAACCAAATATCTGTATTTCTTGTAGGAAACGTAATGACACGACGCTGTAGGCATGACAGTAATCTAATGAAGTTGGAGAACTCCTTATTCGAGAAATAAAGTGTGTGCAATAAGCGAAATGTGTAAAGGTTGTCAGCTCGTATTATATTAAATTCTTGGAAAGCTCCACGCGTCGTTCCGAACGGTTCAATATTTCCAATCTGGCGGACTATTTTTTTTTGCAAAGTAATGACTTTATTGATGTTTGCTTTGCTTGTCGTGGCCCATACAAGGCTGCAATACATTAGATGTGAATTAAATAGCGCATAATATATCTGAAGTTTCACTTTGAGCGGCAAAATGTTCCGGCAACGAGACATCACTCCTGTTACCGAAGAAAGCTTTTTACAAACAAAATTTACATGTGTATCCCAGCCTAGATTGGAGGAAAAATAAACTCCGAGTATTTTGTAGCTATCAACAATATCAATCGGCACTGATTCAAGAACTAAAGGTTGATGGGTAGCGAGTACTTTATTTTTGGCACGAAAAACAATGGCTTTGGTTTTATTTGGATTAATTTTGAGCTGGTTCATTCTGGACCATGACGAAATTCTTGAAAGTATATCATTTGCTTTGCTTACAATGTCATCTAAGTTGACGCCATCAAGGATTATTGTTGAATCGTCCGCATATATGACGTATTTAACTGTTGTGTCCAGTTGAACAATGTCATTAATGTAAACATTGAACATCAGCGGACCAAGTATACTGCCTTGCGGCACACCACGAGTGAGGGGCAAGAATGACGAGCTATTTTCATTAATGTAAACACTTTGGCACCTATTGCTAAGATATGATCGAATTAAAGATTTGGCAACACCCCGAATGCCATTTGATTCTAATTTGTCTAACAATATATTATGATGAAGCGAGTCAAATGCCTTACTGAAATCTAGAAATATGCTGAGTGTGAATTTATTTTGTTCAAAGTTATGAAGTATAGCTTCCTTTAATGTCAACAATGCAGTTTCAGTGGACTTGCCGCTTATAAAGCCAAACTGCGCATCTGTTAACACATTGTGTTTATTAAAAAATTTCGTTATGCGGACATGAATAATTTTTTCTAAACATTTAGAGAAGACAGGAAGGACCGATATAGGCCTGTAGTTACTTTCACTGTTGCGGTCACCACCCTTAAAAATGACTGATACACGAGCTTTCTTCATGGCTTCCGGAAAAAACACCATGTTCAAGAACTAAGTTATATATATAGGTTAGTACACTACTAAGTAAATATAAAACGTGTTTTATTGGTGTGATCTGCAGGTCATCGGCATCAAGAGATTTAGTACTATTTAGATGCTTGAAGATTTCGCATACTTCACTTTCGTTTGTTGGGTCAAGAAAGATACTTTGGCTCACGTTACTGCATCCGGCGACAAAATCCGCGTTTTCAACCATTCCTTTCCAGTTGAAAGTCGGCCCTATAGGCCTGCCTGGCGGCACACCCATAGCATCCATGCAGTCTCCAATACAACGTTGTTTTTCACACTCCGGTACATGGCGGGAAATATCGTGCACCAGACTGACCTTTTCAACATTCGACAGACGAGGCTCGAAAGCAAACTTGGGACCTAGCTCAAGAACCTGCCTGTGTTGGTCCGGAAGATGCACATTCCCCAACGTAACAACGTGTCCTTTTGAAGCAGAAGTCCTTTCACGAGGAGGCAATGTCGGGCGGACTAAATTCCAGAGCGCCTCAGTAGCAAGGTCGGCGGTAGCACACCAATGTCTGTGGAGTCGATTCCTGTAGAACTGGTGGGTCGGCGTACCACTCCTTACTCTACACCATACACTCAGGCAATCCTTGTAGTACCGGACCTGACGCCACCACTCCGAGCGCAAGATGCGGCAAAGCCGCCTCGAGTGGCCTGGGGACGGCTGCATCCACCCACACCAGGCTTGAAGCTCGGTAGGGCACGTGCCATGTCTGATGTGCCAAGAAGCCGTGCGAGCCTTCACAACACCGACGGCGATGAGCGAGGTCAGAACGGCCGGGTCATTAGCAGGAAAATTAACACAAGGAAAAGAGCCCGATGTACAAGAAATGAACTTCAGAAGAATGGTAAGTTGGGCTAGTTGGTACTGATCCATAAGGTATGTAACTGCGCAAAAAACTGACGGAAACAAGAAGGAGAGAAAAAGGACAGACAAGCGCATATGTCGGCAGGTATTCTAAAGAGGTTTGAGCAGTGTGGTCTTGGCCTGAAGTTTACTTCAGAATACCTAAAGGACCAGTGTATCCAATTTTTGGATCTGCAGCTGCAGTTCTCGCCCACCCATGTGTGTTGGTGCTATGCCCCTAGGTCCGTAAAACCTGTGCTGAACTACAAATCCGGCCATACGAAACTGGTTAAAAATGCCATTGCACTCTCATGTTTTAGCTCTGCACTGAAGAAATCCTGCACTCATTTAGTCGGTAACAGTTTTTCTGGGCAGGTGCAAAAACTGAGACAGGCAGGATATCCACGGGACTTATTGGTAAAGGTCTGCGAGAAGTTGATTAAGAAGTATAAAGGAGGTCCAGGTAATGGTTGTGACCTGGATGAGAAGGCGCAGCATAAAATTTTTGCTGTTCTTCCTTATATTCATGGTTTTACCCACCGCCTGAAAAAGGTTGCATCAAGATATGATGTCCAAGTGGTTATTTCTGCCAGGAACAAGTTATCCACTTTATGTGCCAAAGTAGATAGACGAGTCGCGAATCAGCGAAATGTCCAGCAACACACATGCAATGTTAGTCATATTCATAATTATGTATCTTGTATCACCGGTGTTGTCTACTCCATACCCTTGTCATGCGGTCGTGTGTACGTGGGACAAACAGGTCGCTGTCTAAATGTTAGACTTCGAGAACATTTTAATTCTTTAAAAGGCCACTCCGGCCTTCATCTGGCAGCCCACTGTAAGAAATGCGGCTGCGCTCCGCTGTTCGGTGATACTTCTGTGTTGTTCCGGCATAAGAACCAAAGAGTGCGCGAACTTATTGAGGCTGCGCATATTCGCAAGAAATCTGTGTCTTGTGTTAGTGTTCCCTCTGTGGCCATACATGATAAGGAGTTAAGCTATCTTGGTTTTGTATGACGGGTGTGCTATGCTTGATGTGCCTAAGTTTGGTGATTTGGTCCCTCGTGTTTTTTTCTCCTCCCCCTTTGCCCCCTCTTGCTTTTTTCTGCCTATTATATATATTGCCTCGTTCTTGCAATAAAGCGTCAGTTGATAGTCTGCGCTTGTCTGTCCTTTTTCTCTCCTTCTTGTTTCCGTCAGTTTTTTGCGCAGTTACATACCTTATGGATCAGTACCAACTAGCCCAACTTACCATTCTTCCAAAAAACTGTACACCACTGCCCCATAAAATATGCGATTTGTGTTGCATTATGTTCACACATCTTGCCAGTTGAATGCCCTAAATAAAAAAAAAATAAATAAAATTACTTCCGCAAAGTTTAAGGAATGCTGCTAAAGTCTTTCAGAAATAAATGCACCAAAAGCAAATATTGGCCTTCTCATTGTAGTGAAGCAGTCTGCCACACTTAGGCAGTCAAATTTGACTTGTCAGACATGGGCTCATGCATCAGATGCTGGCTGCTTCATCATCAAAAGTCTGCAGATACTGGATTGATTGATTGATATGTGGAGTTTAACGTCCCAAAACCACCATATGATTATGAGAGACGCCGCAGTGGAGGGCTCAGGAAATTTCGACCACCTGGGGTTCTTTAACGTGCGCCCAAATCTGAGCACACGGGCCTACAACATTTCCGCCTCCATCGAAAATGCAGCCGCCGCAGCCGGGATTCGAACCTGCGACCTGCGGGTCAGCAGCCGAGTACCTTAGCCACTAGACCACCACGGCGGGGCTGCAGATACTGGAGCTGCCATGAATGCGATCAAATGCATTGCTGACAATTTGCACTTTCACCTTTCTCACACATCAAATCAACTGCGAGTAATTGTAAAAATTATTATAGTTAAAAAAATCCAACATTAGGCTAACGCTTTTTTTTAATGCACCCAGACTCTTGAATGCGACTGCCCCTGCAGTCTATGTCTATATGTAAGCGTAATGAGCATTAATGAGCTGATGAACCTCATGCAACATGTAAGCAAAAAATTCATTAGAGTGAAAGAACCTCTTCACAAAAGCTTCCCTACATATATATATAAACATGAGTGTTAGATCCACATAATTTTGAAACTCTACCCTACCTTTCAGGGAAATCATAAAGTTTAATACCATTGCACAATTAACAATTACCGTCCTGCAAATAAACAATAAGGCCTTGGTACAACTGCATTTTTTTCTTCAATTAACCAACGAGCAAAGATTTAACCAATGGGCCTTTCATCCAGCAAACATTGACTCATGAACCGCTGTTTTTTTTTTTTCATTAATTGATGCAAAGTTGATCTTAAGCAAAAAGCCAAATGCGTCATACTTTTCTGCCTGTGTAACACAATAGCAGAACAATATCTTCACATCTGTGTTCTAATAGCCCAACATTTTCTGCAGCATATGCCTGCATGCAAAACTTGACCTGTGTAGAAATACTAAGGCTTGAAAAAAACACATTAAAAATGAAATGATAATAAAAAAAGGTGTCCTTAATCAGCGATTTCAATGAGAAGCCTAGCAGCTTCGATGAGAGTCGGCTGTTTTTCTATGTTCCTTCTGCTACGTTTACACTGTTTTTGAAGAAGTTTCCTCGACAAGGTTGAAGAGAGAAACGTAGGGTGCTGCCACGGACTCACCGCCAAGTCCTCCACCGTGTCTCGCTTGCGCTCCTCGACCCTCTTAGCGGACGCACTGGTGCTGCTACTGCTGGTACTGCTTGTACTGCTGCTGGTGCTGCTGCTGGTTCGTTTCGGAAGCTGGCTGCGGCCAGACTTGAGCGTCATCTTCGTGTCCTCCCCAATGTAGCCCCGGCAGTTGCTAGACTCACAGTGGCAGCGCTGCGCCTCTTTGCTGGAGAGTGAGGGGTTGAAAGGCATGGGCAATGCCCAGATAAGCACTCCAGCTTGTGCCACAAGCCACGGCTTACTCAAACAACGTGTTTAAAGAGGTAGCTATAGTTTCGAGTGGTTATTCTATTGTCAGGAGCTTAAAGTAAGCACAGATATAATTATACCGAAGCACAAATGGTAAATCTCTACCATTCCCCTTCACCTCCCCCCCCCTTTTGTTATAGAATCTATGCTCGTTATAACAAACCTGCATACAACAAACTTTGTGATTCAACGGCCCATTATTCAGCCTAACTTTAGTCTGTGCATTAAATTAATGGAGCAAAGTTCGCTTTGAAAAGACTGCCATACAGTAGACTATTATGGGCTACAGTAGACGAATTTCGCAAAATTTTTCTTTGTAATCATTAAGTGCACTTTTGCCCTGTTGACGCAGGCCAACAACAGCCTTGACTATGCCACTTTCTGCGTGCTAATGCCACGGTTATTTTAAATTGCTGCTGGTGGCTTCTGGCTAAGTAAAGCCTCCAGCCAAGCCAGTCTGAGAACATGGTCATGCCGATGGTAGAAGTGTTGCAGCTGACTTAAATGCGGCACAAAGTGGTTGTATCATTGCTCAAGTGTACTCGCCAATCTGTAATCACAGCTTCTTTTTCAAGTGACGCGTAAATAAAAAGTTTTTGTTTGTATATTGTGTTATATGTTCGTCACTCAATGCAGTAACACTGCGACCAAAGTTTTTGAAGCAAGGCCCATGCTCCTACAGTACGTTCTGGTGCTCCAAGCAGGCGAGTTTCACTGTAAAATTAGCATATTAATGTGAGAAGGGCCTTGGTGCTGCTCAGTTTGGAACTGCCAGACCAACTTCGGACCATCCACCCTGCCATTGACACTGCATGGCAGCAACCGCTCCCAGCGGCCAATAAGAGACCCAATTTAAGCAAATATGCCTTCCCATTTGCAAAAATAAAGAATTTATTCTAAGATGATAAAGAGAAGTGGCTGAAAAAGCGTGCTAAAAACTACCGTATTTACGAGATGCTAAGCACCCCCAGTTTTCACTAGAAATATTTAGAAAAATATTTTGTTTGCAAATCTAAGCAACTCTCCTGCTTTTTCTTTTTACTTTTTGCGAGCATTGCCAAGCGCGCACTCCCATCGATCTCGGAAACCGCGATGTGGTATGTTGTTATAGGTTCACACAAGACATGGTGGCCCAAGAGTCGGCAGATAATCCAATCCAAACCTTAAGTCCGGTCAAGTTGCACTGGCATGAGCACGTTTCTTTCAGTTTGACAGCCCCTACATCGGTCAGAATGAGTGTAAAGAGGGCTTCCTACAACTTGAAGTTTAAGTGAGCTGCGATAGAGTTTGCCGAGGACAATGGCAATCACAGTGCTGCTGCAAAATTCAGTATTAACCGAGCCCGCATCATCAGGTAGAGGAAGCAGCGGATCTAGATTCTCAAGGGCACCGCGACTCTCAAGAAGTTCACGGGATCAGGGCCGACACACCGAACTCTTAGAGGAAGTCCGCGAGTTTCAACGTATCAAGGTCAACGTAGTCACCAAGTCATTCAAGAAGTGTTGCATCACAAACAACTTGGACGGCACTAAAGACAATCTGCTGCGGGACACCGAGATTGACGGTTTAAATGGTTTGATGGACTTGAGCGAAGCGACGGACACGAGCGGCAGTGACAGTGACTGACCTGCTACATGAGTGGTGGGTTCACTGTGTGACTCTATTTTTCCTTTTATTGTCTTCGAATTAAAATGCGATTTCTCGCATCACCCTCAATGATATGTTGTCACAAAAAGCGGTTAAGAACGTGCAGTCATTTTTCAATTTTTCGAATCTAAGCATCCCCTGAACATTTAGTACCGCGATTGTGAAAACAAAGGAGGTGCTTAAAATAGCATAAATAAAGTAAATTATCGCGCTATGCTTTCCTGCAGTGCAGAGACTAATCCCACTCGCTCATTAATTAGAGCTTGCACCGCAATTTTGTAAATGTCTGCTGGAGATTGAAGCCTTTCGTAATGCTGCTGCATACATTCAGCATGGATGGACAGAACAAGCCTGCTCTATAGTGCTGAGGAAAATCGAAATGATAGTCAGGCAGCAACGTGCAACCCCCTCCTCCCAGCCCACCTGTCCAGCAGATTTAGGATATCACGAACTTCGGATGATACGGACACATTTTGCCAGATTATGACGATCTGTTGCAATGAGAGCAGACTGTATTATAGTGTAGATATCCAAAAGCTAGCATCCTTCACAACCCAGCAAACTAGTGATGAGAAAACTTGATTCTGTATCATTCTATACAAAGCTAACTCAAAATGCTTCACAACTAATACACCCAAAAGTACACCAAAGCTACTTTAAGGGAATACTAAAGAGAAAAATGATATTTCAACGCCCAGCTCTGTGCCATCCAGCAAGCCGGGGATGCCGCCAGAGTCCGGGGACTAAGTGCCGCCACTTGAAACCACCAAGCCCAAACTGCCGGCCAACTGTGTTTATTAATAAAGTCTTCTCTCTCTCTCTCTATTGTTAGTAAACTGTTCTTTCTCAATTCCAAGATCACGATGCTTGCCGTGAGAAGTTGAGTGTTAAGCGAGAAAATGTGCAAAAACAAAATGCAGCTGGCAACGAGACCACAAATTTCCCGCGCCAATTGCCATGATGTCTTATAGTTTGATAGCATCTGCTAGGACCTACATAGTTTCTCATCAGTAAAAATTGAGTACACGGGACTCCAAGGAGGCCAGACAAGTCCCTTTGGAATCCGCAACAACACACTCAAAGATTTCAGCGTGAAATTCAAAAATACAACTTTGACCTTCATTTTCTTCTCTATCAATATGTCTATGATGGTGAAACTAATGACACTAATTAGAGTTCACAGAAACCAATTTATCAGTCTAAACAGACTCACTGTTTCACTTCAGTGTCCCGTGACAAGACTCATTACAACCAAACACTTATGCCTAACCTAGTATAAGCAAATCAATGCGTCAAAACGAGTTCCACGATTTGCTAGCTTTTTTTGTGTGTCAAATTTTGGCTTCATGTGTGGGGATCTGAGGCGCGCCCGCGACCATTTCGCGGGCATTCCGCCACACGGCCACACCCTTTTGCTTTCCTGCTCCGTTAACACCACGTGGCGATAGATGGCGCCACGCGCGGGCACGGCGCGCGCCACTGCGCGCGCCGAGGGAGCGGTCTCTTCTCCGTTGGTCGGCGCCGAGTAAGCACGTGTTTTCCTTCGTCAGCGTCCCCTTTGGGAATCGCCGGACTGTAGCCTGTCTGGGGTGGCCTTGGGCACCTCGGCAGGCGTGTTTACTTGGGTGCTAGCTTCGGTAGCGTACGCTAAGCCCACAGTGGTGCCTAGTGCTTGAAGTGGTCGTACCACAACGAGCCGCACTTGCGTTAGGCCTAAAGCACGTGCAGCATTTTTCAATTTTTCGAATCTAAGCATCCCCTGAACATTTAGTACCGCGATGTGAAAACAAAGGAGGTGCTTAAAATAGCATAAATAAAGTAAATTATCGCGCTATGCTTTCCTGCAGCGCAGAGACTAACCCCACTCGCTCATTAATTAGAGCTTGCACCGCAATTTTGTAAATGTCTGCTGGAGATTGAAGCCTTTCGTAATGCTGTTGCATACATTCAGCATGGATGGACAGAACAAGCCTGCTCTACAGTGCTGAGGGAAATCGAAATGATAGTCAGGCAGTAACGTGCAACCCCCTCCTCCCAGCCCACCTGTCCAGCAGATTAGGATATCACGAACTTCGGATGATACGGACACATTCTGCCAGATTATGACGATCTGTTGCAATGAGAGCAGAGTGTATTATAGTGTAGATATCCAAAAGCTAGCATCGTTCACAACCCAGCAAACTAGTGATGAGAAAACTTGATTCTGTATCATTCTATACAAAGCTAACTCATAATGCTTCACAACTAATACACCCAAAAGTACACCAAAGCTACTTTAAAGGAATACTAAAGAGAAAACCGATATTTCAACGCCCAGCTCTGGGCCATCCAGCAGGCCGGGGATGCCACCAGAGTCCGGGGACTCAGTGCCGCCACTTGAAGCCACCAAGCCCAAACTGCCGGCCCACTGTGTATCAATAAAGTCTTCTCTCTCTCTCTCTATTGTTAGTAAACTGTTCTTTCTCAATTCCAAGATCACGACGCTTGCCGTGAGAAGTTGAGTGTTAAGCGAGAAAATGTGCAAAAACAAAATGCGGCTGGCAACGAGACCACAAAATTTCCGCGCCAATTGCCATGATGTCTTACAGTTTGATAGCATCTGCTAGGACCTACATAGTTTGTCATCAGTAAAAATTGAGTACACGGGACTCCAAGGAGGCCAGACAAGTCCCTTTGGAATCCGCAACAACACACTCAAAGATTTCAGCGCGAAATTCAAAAATACAACTTTGACCTTCATTTTCTTCTCTATTAATATGTCTATGATGGTGAAATTGATGACACTAATTAGAGTTCACAGAAACCAATTTATCAGTCTAAACAGACTCACTGTTTCACTTCAGTGTCCCGTGACAAGACTCATTACAACCAAACACTTTTGCCTAACCTAGCATAAGCAAATCAATGCGTCAAAACGAGTTCCATGATTTTCTAGCTTTTTTGTATGTCAAATTTTGGCTTCCAGCTAAACTGCAGAACTTTGCAGCCATTATGTTTAGCGTGTCGCACTATTCTTGCCTTGCACTGTTGCTTAGCGGGTAGCAGACGGCATGGGATTGAGAATTGCCTTTACTGCAGTCCTGCAACATTGTGCTGGAGGCGAAGTCATATGAAGATAAGAACACTGTGCTTTTTGAAATGCTGATATGTACATAATATGTACAAGCCTGGCGCTGATCTTTTGCCATAGTACCCATTATAATGATCTTGGCAGAGCATATTCTTTAGGGCAAGAAATTATGCATTAGCATTAATTTGTTCTTTCTAAGCAGCGTAAATATGGCAGTGCCAAATACAAGTTATACACCTAGTGAAACACGTAGCACCCAAAAGGCTTGGAACAAAAATGGTGGGAGGTGATAAATAAGCAAATGATAAGAAACTGGAACACACCCATATCTCTGGAACTGGTAGTCGAAGGTCAACTCTTCACCAGCTCTCAGTGGTCGTCTCGTGAAGAAGCCAATCCTGAGTTCACCATTCACTGTCCACTGCAAGCCACATTAAGTGTTCTAAAGCTCCTACATAACTCAGAGAACACATGCTTGGGCTGTGGTGAGAAGAAAAGACAGGTCAACAAAGTTCAAACATTCACTGAGCTCCAGTGAGTGCTTAATGTCCTCTTTTATAGAACCCTCTTAAAAATTCCTCAAAAATGCCTTCGATTGAGTCAAGTGCTTTGTAAGATTTATAATGCCCAAGTAACTTTCTGAGGACCTTATGAAATGAAATTTACAACAGGCAATGTTTACCTGTTCTATTCTCCCATGTTGCATCCTCTTGGAAGAGCACAACTTTTATACCGGTGTCACATGGCCACTTTGGACCGCAATCTGATTAATCAGGATCAAATTTTTTTATCATGATTGGCTCCTTTACAAAAGGAGCAGGAGAAAGCCAATCACTTAACAAATTTGATACCAATAAAGGCATAGTCGTCATTAGCAGTACACAGCACGACACTGGTACTACATATCGAAATGCAGATTTTTGCCAACGACCAGTAACAGCAAAAAAAAAAAAAGTGCTCTGATCAAGACATTCAGCCCATGGAAGCCTGAACTGGGCATTCACTGAATGTCAAAGAAGCATGCCTAATATCCAGTCACTGACACTGACAACTACCGATTCACAGCCATAATCTACTGTTCGAAAAAAATGTTTGGGAAGAGGTCAACTATGCACTTTATTTGTCAACTACCTGCACTGCCCACAGATATCAAATTCGGCAGAGCTGACCACAGCTCCATCTTCTAAACATATATAATGTGTTTTGTAGCCAAGCCCAAAGTGCGGCTCAGGACCCATTTAGGTAACATTCTTTTTCAGCAATAGGTGCCTACCTGACAGCAGCAATTCCACATCCCTCTCCCTTTAAGTCCTTTAATGTTATGTGGAGAGCTATCAAGGAATAGCTTTCAAACAACACTCACAGGCTACTGAAAGCACCTTATACCATAAACAAGTAGAGCTGCACACACTTCACTTACCATTTAGTTTATGCTGTACATGTATGCTACGTTAATGAACATTATTCGGAGAGTGTAATGCAGATATTTTGTACAATCTTAACACTTAAATATAGTAGAACCCACAGCTCCCACTAAAGTGCAAACCATCCTGATAGCAATGCTTTTGGCATTGTTTACTATCAGTAAGCTTTGATTCCCTATAAACTTAACTAATACTGCTTCACAGTGCCTAACAAGTCAAGTTGGTTAGACTGTTCAGTTATGTCTAGGCCCATGTTCTCAGACCGATTTTCCGAAGACAGGTCAGCTGACTAGTCTCCCTACAGTTTTGATCACTGGTCTTGTTTCACTATCACAGGCTTCGCCGGCCTATGGTGACCGGGCCACCTGACAACACTGCCGGCCCCCGACTGTACCCGATAGTCTGCTTCTGTGTCTTGTCTGGATCGGTGTCATATCGTCCCAGTGCACACGCTTGCGCTACTCCGCCGACTTTGACAATTCGCGATTTGTTCCATGTTTAGGTCCTGTTCTTGCTTGCTTTGCCCTCTGCTACGCATACCCTCCGCACGCATGCGGAAGCTTAAAAATGTCTGTTACACAGAGAACGAACCGCGAATAAGTCGGTAGGGCCATACAAGCCCACCAGCACAATGCGATTCTGCGACCGCTGCGCCCGCAGGCCACTTTCCCAAGTTTTCCCACACGTGAGTTGCGCATTTCATGGACCTTTCCTTCACGGACCCTTCCTTCACGGACCCAACCTGCCTTCTTGCAGCGTATATTGGTCTTCAAGGTTACCTTCCCGCAGTATGCTCCCCTCTTTTCACATAATCGCAACTTCTCCGAATGTCTCGCAAGTCTGCTTTCCCCTCTTTATCGCAACCCCTTCGCCCGTCTGCACCGCTCCGTGACGCCAGCCACAATTGCTCGAATTAAGAAGTATCCTTTTCTAGCTAGACTCAGATTTAGAGCAGTTCCATGTGTCCTGGCTAGTATTTCATGCGTGCGTGTCTTGCTCTGTTGGTGTTTGTGTGTGGTCAGGATGGCGAACGGGATCCTTTCCGCACATTTTCCTGCCGCTCAACACAACACCAAAATTGCAACCGCTTGGCTTAGGCGTAATTTGCTTAATTATATTTAGTATAGGCGTCGTATTGTGTAGCGCTTGCTAATAGCTGTTGACCGCCTGTCAGCGAACTTGCCACTTCGGGTGTCCTTGCATTCCGCTGTGATGGTAAATGCTTTGTGGGCAGAGGCAATGAAAACATGTGTGTGAAACTGTTCTCATGAGGTCGACTTCGTTGACGTTGGACTCCATGCCGAGCCTGAAGCTTCGGAACAGGACCACTCCGGCGGCGATTTGGGGCAGCACGTTGTCGACTCCGACATGGGATGGCGGTACATCCGCTGGGATGATTTCATTACGGCCAATATGATGCAGACTCTGCGTAACCGTGCACGGATTCCATTGTGAATGAAGTGCACGGCAAGAGAGACTTGGAGGACTCGAATGATGATGACGACAAAACTTGTGCCAGTGCCCGTGAGCGTGCCTGTTGCAATTGGCTACATTGATAACCTCAGGCAGCTTGTAATATATGCCAAGGGCCTTGGCAAAGAGCACGCTGCCGCTTAAAAAAAAACTCGAGACGACCCTTATCACTTCTGTTTTTCGAAACATGTGCATTAAAGATTTTTTTGCAAAAAAACGATTTTGTATTTCATCGCAAACATTTTAAAACAGTGTTTCATTTACTATGAACTTCAGGATACAGCGAACGGAAGCCGCATCACGCTCAGGTTCGTTATAAGCGGGCTCAACTGTAGTACGAATTTGAATGACACAGTGCCCCATGCTGTCTACTCTTTATGGCATCAGATATAAACAATTCAGTCTAATTTTCCTCCATGTATACCTGTGTTTAGGTATCAGTGGGCTGAAATACACATAAAGACATTGAAGGATATTTAAGGGGACATGCGGGTCGAAAAACCAGAGTTTTCTTCAAAATTACAGTTTTATTTTCGCCTGTTTTGATAAAATTAGTCCTGATAAACTGTCCTGAAAAAAAAAAAAAAGTGGAGACTTGACTAGAAATGCTTTCAAATTGTGTCTAAAGAGCACAAAGTGCTTGTTGAAAGGCTCAAAGTGTGCAGTCTTCGAGCACCTTGCCGTCGATAATGCCCATTGTCGATTGCATGTGGCGAAGAGTCGAGTCTCACTCTTCAAATAACGAGTTTCTCTCGCTAATGCTAATGAGTTTCTCTCGCTAAGAAGCACGCTTCTGCGTGTTTTTCGAGTGCCGTGACTGGCTTATCACGTGTTACGGATCGGGGACCGCCGCCATTAGCCGCTGCGCACCTGTATGTGCTGTGAAGCCTATTTGCGGGGTCCATGTCTTGTCGAGCAGGGCAGCTGAACGATGCTTTTCTCGAGTAATGATCTCCGATATGAATGAAAAAAGCCATTGCTCACACGTGCAAGCCGTTGTGTGGCGCATTCTGTAGGAATAGGCTACGAGCAGCTGGTCCGATTTGCGGCAGTTGTTGGCTTGCAAAAGCCAATGCATCAAATCTCATTCACAACCGTCAGCCGGAAAGTTCGTGATGCGGCAATGGATGACGTCAGTGCCAATCTTGTGAGGCTCAAGGAGCTTGCAGTGAGAGAACTTAGCGGGGACGACATTGCCATTATGTACGACGGTATGTGGCACAAACATGGCCGTAAAATGGCATGACACTAGACAGTTTTAGATTTCGCAGTCCTGTCGAACTTCTTCCTAGCTTGCAGTTGGCACAAGGCTCTGCCAGATGGAGCAGAAGTTTGGCAAGCGTTTCATGGCCCTGTCTGGAAGCGAAATGTCTGTGAGGAGTCAGCTCGAAAAAACCGCGAAGGACAAACTCATGGTGCTGACGTATTTTAGTGGCAGGGGCCACTACAAGAAGGATTGTTCTTTTTGGTGTGCAAATTTCATCAGATTTAATGATATCTTTTCATAAATGAAAACTCCATTTTAACATTAAAACTCGCTTTTCTCAAAACATGAATTCTGCCATTTTTTTCCATGTGCCCCTCCTTTTTCGGCCACTTCTGGTGTTAGGATCTGCATGAAATTTTGCCCGAAGTTTTTCCTAAGTATGACAAATATAATTATCTAATTTAAATGTCAATATTTTATTGTATAATAAAAAATTGTATGTAAACCTTTACTAGAGTAGGTGAAATATAGACATTTCATGTCTATTATTTTTCACACCTATTACATATTTTGTATGTGCTTCCTAATTAGTTATTTGAATTCTACACTTTCTTTGAAACATTATGAACAATGAATGGTAAAAAATTATGGGAGTTTAGGGATGAAAAGAGGGGGGAGAAAAGGGTTAAGGTTTCCATTTTGTCATGTTGCAGAGTGGTAAGTATGCAACTTGCAAGAAAACTAATTATATATTTGAAATCAGCATAAAAAGTTCCATAAACAGCTCAAGTTTCATTGCTCTAGAGTGAATATTAAAAAAAAAGTGTCTTCGAGTAGCATCTCCTCTACAATAGCTGGGACCCCCTTGAGTTCTTTCTTAGAATGAGTGAAATTGCCCTAGGTCACATTGCAACAGTTAGCAACAGACACAAAATATGGCTTTATGTTGCTTTGCAAGAGTTAAACTCACACATATACAGTTGCACTTCGATTTTTTACGACTCACTTTTGTTATGCTAGGGTACATTTTGTTACAGCACTGCAAAGTGAACCACTAGCCAGAGTAGTACAACAACAGCCACTACTGACATTAAAAAGCCCCTAAACCACCCAGAGGTCAAAATTCACTTGTGGTGAGGAAATTGTGCGAAAATGATGCCGTGATAGCGGAGTAAGACTCGTTTGATTATCAAAAAATAGCGATGGCTACTTTCACTCTTTCCTTCACAGCCCTCCGCTCGTATTCTCTCTCAAAACCCGTTTGCCCTCTTGCCGATCGCCCCTCCAGGTGTTTTTCTGCCCATCACCGGAGTTCTTTTTTTTTTTTGCCTCCCTGACATACTCCCCTCCTTTCTCTGACACACACACACTTTGTTTTACTTTGTATTTTTTTCACTCTCCTCCCATATATCATCTTTTACCTTACAGTCGAATCTCGATAATTCGAACTCGAAGGGGCCCGAAAATTTGTCGAACTAAAAGAAGATGAATAATGAAAGCTAAGTAAACAGAGGGCTCCCCATGCAGTGGCGCATGTGTATTGAGCTAACACACGAGGGGGAAGTTTTAGAAGACTTACATTTATTCACAAATCACAGGACATACGTCATTAGTTGGAAGTAATCGGTGATGCGCGTCTGCACACGTTTGCCTTGCAGCGAGTCAATGAATTTCGCACGCAGCTTGCAAAGCATGTCTTTTTCGGCTTCAGCATTCTCCTGGCAATATAAGTTGCGCCCTGCAATGTCCAGCGCCGACACTCTCTAAGGATGACAACAACGACTGTATCTCCGCTACTACCTTCTGCGCCAAAGCCGCAGCGGGGCCAGCACGTGACAAGAAAGGAGGAGGAGCGTCTCCCTGCGGAGAGAAGCAGATCGGCATTTGAGATAAACCAACACTCCACGGCAGTTTTTTTTTTTTTTTGCTCTCTTCGCGCACATCGTTGAAAGGAGAAGGGTTAAGTGGCAGGGACGAGAAAGGGAGAAGCATGGCACAGGGGCCACGTCGTAGAAAAGAGAAGGGTTACAGAGAGCGTAACAGAGAGCCGCACTCTGCGACAGCTTTTTTTTCTCTCTCTCTCTCTTTGGGCATGGCGTTGCAAGGAGAAGGGTCTTTAAGTGGCAGGGGCAGAAAAGGGAGAAGTGTGGCGAAGGCGCGTCACAGATCGGCATTTGAGAGAGAGCGAGAATTTCACCTCAGCCTTTTCTTTCCCTTTCTTTTCCCTTTTCGCGCAGCAGTGAGGTGTCGGAGGTGCCGCCACGGGATTGGGCGGGGTGCTGAGAGCATTTTCCGAGTGCGGTATGTTCGAATTAACCGTCGCAAGTGCTTGTGCATTCGAATTACCGGGCGTTTTTGCCCATTGAAATACACATAGCTTTGACGGGACCTTATCGTGAATTCTAATCAAGCAGAAGTTCGAATTAAGCGTGTTCGAATTAATGAGATTCGACTGTACTTTCTTTTCTTCACTCCCACTGTCCCTTAGATCCCCATTCCCCCATAAATGCATCGGTTGAGATGTCCTTACATGACAGACAGTTGTCGTGCACTCCACACCCCATTTTCTCAACTTATTTTCCTAAATGTCAGCTTTCACTCTTTCCCCACTCTCGCGTGGTATGGAAGTGCGGTCTGTGTGCACCTAGGAGAACATGCGGGCAACACGACGAATAGCCAGGAGCATGGACAGCTGCTTGCAGACTAACCAATCGCTCGACTAACCGCAGCACGAATGCGCGGCGCATCACACAGAGGCCGGAAAGCCCCGGAGAGGAGTAGTGACTGTTGTTTCAAATTTGTGGCGCGCCGTCGGCTCGTAGTGCTGTCACGTGTAGCATTGCTGACCGAGACGGCATTCTGCACACAATTCGGGTGTTCATTTGAAATGTTTGGCAAAAATATTGTAGGTGGTTTAGGGGCCTTTTAAAGTTATGAAAGTGCATCAAGTCGAAGGCAACTGAAAGCATAAACGTTGACTGTTGAATAAAGCTATACATGCAACTTACAAGAGTAACTCATTACTGAAACATCTTTTATTTTACAGATGCACAACAGTTTTGCATTAAGCATACAGCCACAAACGAAACTCGCAGGACTAGGTTCACGAAAACACCATACGATGGGAAAGAATGCCTACGCACCTTTTGTGTCTCGCAGTTCGGGTCGCACGAGTGATTGATGAAGCGCGACACATTGCCCTTCTGAGTGGCATCAATGATCTCGTCCGCACGTAGTGCCATGAAGTAGTAGTGCTGGTTGTTGTCCCGGGCATACTGCTTGACCCGCTTGCGGAAGTCTTCTGGCGTGAGTACTTCTCCCACATATTCCATTACAAATGTGCCCCTGAATGAAACAAAACGAAAAAGCTGAAACAAAACGCCAAAGGAACCATGGCTACGAGAATGCCAAGCGTGCCAATAAATGATGATCACGGATTCGTGTCAATTGAACAGACAAATATATATGGGGAAATGAATGCCTCAGTTAAACACACAAAAAAGCCATTCAGCTTGGTCAACATTAAAATTGGAGGAGACAAGAAGATGGGACAAGTGCAGGAATGAGCAAATATTTAAAATTTCAAATATTTTTGTAATAGTGCTTGCTTTTAGATTCGATTCACACTGAAATTGTACTATTCAAGCTTCCCGATGACAAATACACTAAACATCTAATTGGCAATAGGACGTTTAGCCCTTTCAGGCGTTCAATACTTCTACGCCATCACACTCTTGTATTGAAAACAAGCTGCCTTTTAGGCTCTTCTACAGCCACCAATGCAGTGACTCAAGAAAGCGCTGGTTTAAACATTTAAGATGATGGATGTGGCAGAAATGGGGCCCGATTAAAGCTGTTTTGGACCTGAAATTTGGGAAAAATCGGGCACCCAAGATTTTTAGCATGGAAAATTTCAAATGTTCTTGCATATTGACGTGTACACGGCATATTCGGAACTCTAAACTCAATGGAAGCGCATCCTTGTTTGCCACATCAGTCGGGCTTCAACAGCCCCAAAAGCAGGTGTTTCTACTTTCTTTGCCGGTCTTTTACACGCCAGGCACGTTGACTGCCGATCGGGAACACGCTTCGACGATCGGCGACAGGCTTCTTAAGCAAGTCGCCTGCAAAAACAGGGCTTATTTTTCTGAAGAAAAGCTCTGTGTAGTCGCATCAATTGGCATGCATATAAAAGGGCCACATACAGCACGAATGATGTCTCAAAATTTGTGCCTTGTTGTAGTCATATTGTCTACATATCCTTTTATCGTGTGCCAAAGCATATATCAGCTACGGTGTATTAAAGGGACTGTCTAATGTCCTTCACTGCTTTTCCGTTTTGTTGCGCAATGAAAAGTGTAGCATCTGAAGTGTCTAACCTTGCAGGGGTTTATCTAGAAAGTGTGTAAAAATTTTTAAAACAGAATTTTTCTCTCCATGTTCAGTCTCCTTCAATTGGTGTAATGAATGCCCACAACACTGGTGGGCAGAGGCAATGACAATTGCAGTGGTGAGAATGCCTTCCAGCATTTTGGAGCAGCCGTTGGAGCAGGCAAAATCTGCTTTTGGAGCAGCTACCGCTGTGTTTGGAGTATGCATGGGCTTTTCATGATATACACACAGGAAGAAAATTTAGCTTTAATTAAGTTTAATGTTCCCTTAGTTCACATGGTCATTTATACAGAAGCAGCAAGCCCACAAAATAAGCACAAAATATAAACAAAAGCAGGATCATATACAGAAGCGGCGACGTAAAACAGTGAAGGAGATGTACGCAAATGTATGAGATGGCTCTCTTTAAACATTTTAAATACCATTCTTTTAAAAATTACTGAACTCCTGCTCAAGTACAGCAATGTATATATTCTAGTGCAGTTTCATGTGAAAAAGAATAGAGGTCGGCAGAATTAGTGGGGAACCTAATCTGCTCTAATGCTTAATTTAAGTAGACATTAAAAGGCAAATTTCCATAACTTCTACTAATACAGCTCATGGTCAACTCTAAGTAACTAATGGCGCTCACTAAAACGCAGCAAAACCAGGTGATAAGAAAAAAGTACAAAAACATGGCTTCTTACGAAGAGACTGTCTCCAAGGTGCGTAGACCCCAGCCTTTTTTCTCAGTCATAAACTTTTCCACATTGATGTAGCTTTTCTGCAATGTAAAGAACATGCTTCAGAATGATTAAGAAAGGGATGCATTCAAAATGTGGAAAATAAATTTGTTGCTTTGGCACACAAGAGCAACAAAATAGATATTCTCTGCTCATACCTTCTGAAATCGTCTGTTGCTGCAATTTTCACCATTAGGACAGCGGGAACCACTAAACAAAAAAGAAAACATGAAAATTTCATTTAGTACTCAATTACATGCCCTCAGAAATACAGAGATATCCTACGCTTGAACCAGATGTTTAGTAAGCAATTTTCCTCTGTGCACTCCTCTTTACATTAGAGAAGAAGAAGAAAAAGACTTCATCTTAGACATGTGAAGGTAGTAGTTGTGGCAGTGCGCACTAAACCATGTTCAGGTCAATGTTAAACTCGTACCTGCCACGCTGGTCCAGGGGCTAAAAAAAAGCCCTCGACTGCTGACGTGCAGGTCGCGGGATATATTTTCGGCGGCAGCAGCTGAATTTTCTATGGAAGCAAAAATTCTTGAACCAGTGTGCTTAGATTTAGGTGCACAATAAAGAACCCCAGGTGATCAATTTCCGCAGCCCTCCACTAAGGCGTCTCTCACAATCATATGGTGGTTTTAGGACGTTAAACAACAACCACTACCATTAAATGTTAAACTGCTACACCAATTCGACTGATGGTCTCTTGATGGATTCTTTAAGTGATGGATTCTTAAACCCCTTAAAGGGGTACTGACACCTTCTTTCGGGAGAGAGTTTACTCTGCCATACAAATCTCCTGTATACAGAGACAGCTCTGAGAGTGTGTTACGCTGAGCAAATGCCGATAAGATATTTTATTTTGATATTAAGGAAAAACGCTGCTTGAAGACTATATTTTTTTAATGTTCATTCTAGAGCAATAAAACTTCAGCTGTTTATAGAGCTTTTTATGCTGATTTCTAATATATAATTAGTTTATGTGCAAGTTGCTTATATTAAGTTCAGTAACGCAACTCGAAAACCTTTAGCCTTTTGTTCTCCCTCTTTCTGTCACTAAACTTCCATAATTTTCACAATGTTTCAATAAAGTTCACAATGTTTCAAATAAAGTGTACAATGCAGAAAACTAATTAGGAAGTGCATACAAAATACGTAATAGATGAGAAAATGTCCACATTTCTCCTTCCCTAGTAAAGGTTTGCATGAACTTTTCATTATATAATAAAAATATTGAAATTTAAATAAGGATAATAGCATTTCTCACACTTAAAAAAATTTGGGCAGTGTTTCATGAAGATCTAAGCACCAGAAGTAGCCGAAAAAGGAGGGGCACATTGAAAAAAATGGCAGAATCTGTTTTGAGAAAAACAAGCTTGAAAGTTCAAATTGAATGTTTATTCATGAAAGACTGTGATTAAATGCAATAGAATTTGCACACAGAAAAAGATCAATCTTTCTTGTAGTAGCCACTGCCACTGAAAAGCGCTAGCGCTATAAGTTTGTCCCACACGGCTTTTTCGAGATGGCTCCTAGCAGACATTTTGCTCACAGACAGTGCCATGAAATGCTTCCTAAACTTCTTTCGTTCCATAGTTCAGTCTTGTGCTGACTGTAAGCTAAGGAGAAGTTCAAAAAGACTTCAAAATGTCAAGGGACACAACAGTGCTGATGCCATTATGTGGCCGAGTTTATGCTATGTACCGTCGCACATAACAGCAATGTCGTTCCCGCTAACTTCCCTCACTTTGAGCTCCCTCAATATACAATTGTGCTTATATGTTGTTTTTGCACAAGCAAGCTGTATTAATTTAAGTGATTTATAAAGCTTTTTCTTCATTTTTCATTATAGGATTACAATCTCATAGACCTCTTGCAATCAGCTTTGTATTGAAAGAATCAAAATACCTGCTCTTGATTGTTTTTGATCTGATAAGATGCAGCCAGAATGACTCAGATACTGCCCACAGTTTAACAACTTTAGAATCTATGGTGGACGAATGGGCATGTAACAGCCTCGCATTTTTGCCTCTGATTGCAAGTGGCACACTGCTACGAAAGCATGATGTTTAACTTCATGGGAATATTGAAAAGCTGTACTTGTAGTGTTGAGACGAAAGGCCATGGTGGCCGCATTTCGATGGGGCAAAATACAACAACACCAGTGCGCTAAGAATAGGGTACCTGTAAAAGGACCCTGGGTGGCCAAAATCATTCTGAAGTCCCTCACTACGACGTTCGTAATAAACATGTGGTATTAATTTGTAAACCCCTTAATTATTGTATTTTTTCGGCTGATGTCGCCATGAGCTACATGTCTTGAGCTGTTTTTTTTTTCTGGTGCTTATTTTAAAACATAACACACTCAGGCAGGTATTTATGCATGCCGAGTGCTAAAAATAAATGCTTAAAAGCAAAGCAACTGTCAGGGAAGCTTAGAGTGCTAACATCAAGACTGTCCAACACACAACCCCGATAGTAGCATTACCATCGCCCCTCAAGCACATCTGCGCCTCTAGCAACGGCCGCTGGCTCTATAAAAACTGAAGCGGCAGTTCCGTGACCATAAAAAGCATTGAATGACTCCGCCGGGACTATAAATTATGCTATACTGGGGGACACTGCAATGATTTTGAGCATCTAGGATTCTTCAACTTGCAAAAAAATTCAAGTACACAAATGCTCTTGCATTTCACTTCCCATTATACAATCTATTGTGAAAGAACAAAAATTGATTGATTGACACGGTGCCACTGTGCCTGGTAATCGAACCAGCGATATTGTGCTTGGCAGTTCAAAAGCGAAGGGTACTTTTGTGCCAAAGCTATACACTCACCATTCAATCATGAGTAGGCGGTTGAGGCAGTCCTCTTCACAGCCCATGATGCCCCTGTCTTTCTCATCCTTGGTCAAGGAGCAGTCGCAAATCATGCGGCGCACCTCCTTCTTGCTTTTCGTCTTGCGCCTGCCATCAGAAACTTCATCAATGCTTGACTTGAACATGTGAGTGAGCCGAAAAGCATTCACATTTCAATGTGCAGCAACCTGGCCGCGTTTTCTAAAACGAAACTCCAATTGTTATTCTGTTGACAGCTTATAGGTACCACAATGTATGTCAGAGTACAGTTATTAATGGTTGGAGAGACATGTACAGTGGACTCTTATTAAACGGAACCTGAAGGGACCGGGAAAATTTTTCCCATTAAACAGGCATTCTATTTACACAGAGATCTGCAGGGGTGCAGAATAGAAGTACGAAACCAATTATATCAGAGGCAGTTGTTCCGTTTAAGCAGTGGTTCCATTTAACAAATTTAGGTTTACTGAGGGTCTAGTGTATGTAGGCCATCAAATCGAAATTCAATTTACAGAATTCACTTCACAAGAATGTACATACATGCAAGGTGCAGCATCAAGCTTTGCCGTTACCTTAGCTTGATTAGGAAAAAAAAATCGGCTGACTTTTTTTTTTCAGTGACCATGCACCTCTGAAAGGCATTGCCGACTGCTTCAAAACTGCAGCCCAAAATAGAAGCCTGCCTACCTGAGCTGAAAAGTCAACCTACCTCTCAAAAAGGTAAAGGTTTTCTTCAATATCCTCATAGCCCATAGACTTGGAAGAAGAGCCGTTTGTTGCACTGCTGGCACTGCCTTTATCCTTGTTGTCCCTGCTTTCCTTGCTGTCTCTGTAATTCCTGCCGTCCTTGCTGTCCCTGTAGTCCCTATTGTCCCTACTAACCTTGCTGTCCCTGCAGTCCCTATTCTCCTTGCCATCCCTGTAGTCCCTGCTGCTACTCTCAAGCTTGTGGTTATCTCTGGAGGCCCTGGGTGAGGCTGTGCTGTCAGACTGCTCTCGGCTGCTCGTCCCTCTGGACCCCTTGGAATCCTTTGAATGCAGTGCCAATGTGGGGCTGCTACGCTCTCTCCTTCGCGGGCTCTCCTTCAAGCCAACTGGAGTCACTTCTTCATGTATGGAGGGCATCCTAGCTTCACACGGAGGGGAGCTGCGGGCTACTGGTGAAGAAATCGATGGAATGGGTGGTGTGTCACGAGTCTCAAGTTCACTGCTGCGCCGCCAGCGGGACTTCACCTGCAAAGATGACTGCAACTGTCATTTCACACGTTGCCTCTATTGTCAAGGGCAGACTTTCCTTTATTATTTACTAGATGGAACTGCAATGCTGCAATCATTCATTTAATACATAAATTATGGGTAGTTCGTGGCCTTGCCTAGTCTTCATGTTTGTGGCTTTGTTTACTGTTGTTTTTGGCTTTTGTTTCACATAAAGAATGGCTTGTTGTGAATCTCTCATGCAGATTTGAATTAGTCAGCCTAACAAAGTCAAAACAGTGAAATGGCATTAAGCACTATTGCTAAACTTTGTCTTGCAACAAAATGGCTGTAGGCCACAGAGAGCTGAGCAACAAAAGCTTAGACTAGTTTATGTACTACCCATGATTCCCATGCTGGTTCACACGTAATGCATTGCAGCTTCTATAGACTCTAGTGTCAGATTTCCCTAGAGTGCCATTGTGAAACTCCATTATTAAACTCCAAGACCAATGAAGAGAAGAAGAAGAAAAAAAGAAAACGAAAGCTCCGCAATGCTGAGCGCAGAAACATACATTAAACAAAACTAAAAACAAGTGAGTATTTAGTATACGTCACACTAATTAGGTGGCACTTGCAGTTTCCAGATAAACTCAATGCTACCAACGGCGAGAGAACACGAGCATTTGTGCATTGAAATGACCTAAGGTCTTGTGCACAAAACAATGTCAGCTCATTTGCACACACTGTTCCTAAATTTGAGACATTCAAAACTGCCCTATTGCTAGCATGAAACTTATTTCGAATGCGCTTACAGTAACAAAAATAGGCCGTCTAGGAGGTCAGAGCCTCATGCGCTACGTAGTTGCACTTTTCCTTCTACAAAACGAAGGCTAGCTTTATCTGTTTGGTCACCACTTATTCAATCAAATGTGTCAAATTTCGACAAATATTGTCAGAGTCCACATAACTTGTATATTGCACAACATACATTACACACATTTAAATGCAAGTTTGGCCATGTTAGTACTGTATTTACTCGTATAATGCTAGTGCTTCTTTACATGAATTGGTTATGTGACATGTTATGCTATTCATAATGCTCCACAGCCAGCATTATTTTGGTATTTTTGCCAGAGATTCCAACTCTGAATTGTGTCTTGGTCATTTCACAAATCGATTGACGTCAACTGAAATCCACAGGAGTGGGAAATGTATCGTCACCTAATACACAACCCACAGGCTCAGTTCACAGTTTGGTTTGTCTTGTGAATACTTAACTGAACCCTCACTTCAGATTCGCTGTTGAGGTCGCAGTGTCATTACAAAGGGCATCATTAAAGTCCCACAGAAAGTTGAGAAAGAATTATGCAGTGTTGCCTGGCAAATTCTTGTTAGACACAATCAGCACAAAGCAGCTTTTGAGCAAGTATAGTGCCTTAACTTCTTAACCTAGTGCCAATACGACCAATGAGGACATTGGCACCCGCGTCTCGCACATCACTTTTGACGACATATTTGGCGATATTATAGTCACATGTCTTGGTGTCACCAATAAAATTTGACATTCTCTGCCCGCTATTGATACGATTGGTACAATACGAGACTGCTGTGGTCCACAGACAGCCTAAAAGCTCATAAAAGTACATTTGAAAGTGATCATCCGAGGATGTAGCGCCTGCTTCACTTCCTCCTAAACTGCACACTAAGCCAAGATACTGTCAATGGATAAAATCGCTGCATATCAAATCATGCCAAAAGTCACATGTCACAGTCATATTATAGTCACATGTCTTGGTGTCACCAATAAAATTTGACATTCTCTGCCCGCTATTGATACGATTGGTACAATACGAGACTGCTGTGGTCCACAGACAGCCTAAAGGCTCATAAAAGTACATTTGAAAGTGATCATCCGAGGATGTAGCGCCTGCTTCACTTCCTCCTAAACTGCACACTAAGCCAAGATACTGTAAATGGATAAAATCGCTGCATATCAAATCATGCCAAAAGTGCTGAACATATGCTCCACATATGCATGGCGACTCACAAGCACAATAAAACACAGTCAATACGATCAGCACCAGATCAACCAAAACAACTCTAATAGTGATGAGCCCATGTCGGCACGACAGCTATAGGTACGAGACACGAATCTTGAAGGCATTGCTTTCAATAACCACATGCACAAGATAAATTTTTGAGGCAAGTTACAGGTAGCATTTCCAAATTTCCAACACAGATCTTAGATCCCACGCCTTTACGCACGGGAACCAGAGAACGTCATAGATATTGCAATCATTACGCCGAAAAGAACAAAAAAATTTTTTGACGACGAAACAGACGAAACGCTAGTAGACATGGTATTCAAATTCAGCTGTTTAGCATACCTGCCAAGTTCAAGGAATCTCAATTGAGGAGATTTTCAAAGTGAGAGGGGGGAATGGGATTGCACACCGTTTCCCCTCCCCCTTTCACAACGAAGCATCTCAGGAAAAAGATAAGGGCGATGAAGAGGGGGAGTTCCAAAAAGCCCCGTAAGCATAAGTATTGTTGCAGTCTCATAATTGCTCATAAACATAGCAAGTTGGATTTACCAACCACGCTCATTTACATTACTGTATATTTACTCACATAATAACCCACTTTTTTTTTTTTAAATAATCTGGCTCCAAGTACAGGGTGAAACAGAGTGAAATTCCCGAAACTATTTTTAAATTACAACATATACTGTTTATAACGTATAGATCGACGAAGTCCCGAATATCCACGCTATAGCTGAAACAACCTCCTTCATAAGCTACACAGCCGAATAACCTGTTGAGCATGCATTCTCGCAAATCTGAGAATCAAGGTGTAAGATGCAGCATGCCTTCAAATTTCTGAAAGTTAACATCGAAGAAACCCTACGAAAGGAAAGCGCCATCGTGGAAATTAGCCTACAACGTTTCAGGCCACCTATATTACGTGAATTTATCCCGACCGAAATTTTGTGCGCTGAATAGCACTTGTAGTTTGATTTCATGGGCTTGCACTCCATATCCAAGACATTGTAATCGAATTACGAACCACCATACGAGTGTTACAGCAGCCCCCAAGCCCCGTTTCCTTCAAGTAGAGCCACCGAAAGGAGTTATGTTGATTCTGTACGAAAAACGCAATTTCAATCGCCCGTGACCCCCACCGAAAAGACAAAAGCGATGAGGCCTAGACTACAGTTAAGCACGTTGTCATGGGAAGTTTGCATACATGAAGATTGTGCGTTGAAAAGATTGCACTGAAGCACTGATCCAAGAGCAGTGCGCGATACAATGTTTAGGTTTGTGGCCAGGAAATCAATGGCAACAAAAGTCCACAGAGCTTGGGCAAGTCCGCGTACAGTCGACGTTCGATTTCTCGGATGCCCGAAACTCCAGACATGCCCGATTTCCAGGACTCACCTGTGGCACCGTCAAGTACCCCATAGAGTCAATATAATAAAAAGTCCGAAATTCCTGATGTTTATAGCGTTCACCATCTGATTTTCCAGACTTTTTACCGCTGACTGCAGGCTCAAAGTCACTGTCGGCGCTGCTATTTTGGTTGTTTTTGAACATCAAACCAGCCGCATCGCGGCCGCCGGACCTTAAAAAACCAAAAATGTTGCAATCCAGCGCACGCCTATCCGTTGCCAGCTGTAGCTTAGGCCGCACGATGCTGTGCGGCCTGTGCTACAACAGAGGCAAAAGCTATGCTGTCGACCTATGGTCTGTCGTCAGCATGCTTGCAGGCTCGTGGAGGGCAACAGACCCACCGAAACTGTTTTCACCACGGGAGCTTCATAATGGACGCCAAGACAGTCGTATTGCCCAGAGTGGACAGCATGTGCGATAAACTTCCACCCGCCTACGTTGCCTTCGACTATGTCCACATTGCCCGTGTTTTGATTCCAGCCAGGATAACCCTTGAGGGCTTCGCCGACATGACAAAAACCTTGACCTGTGTGTGGAACTGACGGATGACGAAATCATTCGTGAAGTTACAGAGAATTCTGACGACTCCAACACCGAGATCGAAGAGGACGCGCCTACACAGCCAACGAGCTCAGAGTTGATGCGAGCACCGACACTGTCATCGGTGTACAGCAACAGCATGACGTTAACTTAAATTCAAGCAGACATCATCGCGGGCAAGTGGAATGCCATGCAGACGAAAATAAGCGACGCCCCTTTTTTTAGGCCTAAGTGTTCACGAATTCGGCAGCGCCGACCACATTGGATTTTCTTTTTTTTTTTCTTCGGCTCTTTTCAGAGCCACCTGAACAATGCATTTGCTGTATTGCAATGAGAACGCTGCACTTGTGCCGCGACCCTCTCCATCAGCGAAAAATACTTATCAAAATTTATGTTTTTGCTAGCATTCGCTTTTCCGGACTGCCCGATTTCCCAGACATTTTCGTGGTCCCTTGAGGGTCCAGGAAATCGAATATCGACTGTAGCGGCAGCAAAGGCGAAAGCCCGTGTTGGAAAGCCGAAAAGTTTTTTAATTAGCGGACGAGATAGCAAACACGATGACAACAATGCTTTTCCTGACAGTAAACTTAATGCACACTTGAAGAGGACGTTATCACATGTTCCACGCAGAGTGCGTGCAGCTGGCTAGCGACCACAGCCACGTTGGCACCGGAGCAGAGGCTACTCCAACACCCAGGCAACCACCCAACTTCTTCACGGAGGTGGCACAGTCTTTTTTCTTTTCTTTGTCCTCACTTTAGCTAATGTAGAAGGGCGTCTGATTGCCACTGTGCAAATCGGTACAGAACTACTGATCATGGCCAAGTTTGGGGTGCGCCTATTATGCGTGGAAATAAAACATGTGATTTCTCGACACCAAACTGGGGGTGTGCCTGCTATGCAAGTGCACCTATTATGTGAGCAAATATGGTAATGACCTCCTAAATTAGTTTGAATAATGCCATAAGCAATGGGTTCACAAAAAGCCTCGATCGGACTGGGTTGAATTTTTACAGCAAAAGCTGTTATGAGATAACAACACGGATCGCGTGCGCCGTAGTTGTCCACCACTGCCACTAACGCCGGTGTTTGTAACCACTATCGCGTAAGGCGAGAAAACGATAAGTAAATAGAAACACCAAGGACACAATGGAATTCAAACCCAGGTGCCCTGTGTGCCAGCCCAGTATTCTACCTCTGAGCTGTGCTGGTGCTTGGAACTCCATGGCAAACTGACCCTAGGCAGGCTTCATATTGGGAAAGCAATTGCATTAATCTGTGTAATAAAGTATTTAGAACAACAAAGAAACAGCCAGGTATCACGCAATTCGAATTGCATAACGGGTGGGCCATTGAATGGTACAACCCATTACGATAGTCCTAGGCATAATTCTTTGTCAGCTACAGCATCAAAAAATTCCTTGCCAGTGTACAGCGGGTATCGCACTTCATCAAAGAATGACGAAGGATGGATGGCATAGTGAAGGCCTGCACAAAAATTATGATGGTTTTATGACATAGTGGATACTCTTCAAGTGTGCTCGTAGCAGTTACCCCAATAGTGCTTAAAAAGGCTCTAAAAAACCACTCTTCCAGTTTTTGCTGTGACTGTGCTGCGCGTTCCGTGCACGCCTGGCGATTTTGCCAATGTGGCAAATCTCGCATAGACATTTCAATTTCAGCAGAAGATCTTGCTGCCAGCCGCACAAACATAAATTGTTGAAATCCAGGAGACTTGGCAGGTATGCTTTTAGCATAGAAACAGCACAAGGACAGAGTAATACTAGAAGAAAGACAGGCACCAGAGCCAGCTAATGTATTGCAGCCAAACTGGCAATAACACAATATAGGTATGCAGAGTTGCATTACACAGAGCTCAAACAATTGGCCAGCTTTGACAGTGCAGTCAGCTAGCTTGTTGCCACTGAAATTTCCCTTTGTAAAATTGTTTTTTTCTTGATGACTGGGACACTCAGCGTAGTGCATTAACTTGCACCTTTGAGCATCCCAACAGCTATGCTTGTAAAAAATTATACTGGGACTGCATCTCTAAAGAAGCGTTCTGGACGACAAAATGACCAGGATTAACACAACCTGTTGCTACAAGTGAAAACTTAACATATCTTGACAATGCTGGCTCACACATGCAATGAATTGCCTTTCTTTGGCGTGTATTGTCTATAAATGCTGTTCCTTCGTAAAATGAAAAGATGGCTATATAACTTCCTGTCCTTTTATTTCACAGACGAGTGCTTCTTGTTAGTGATGCTTCAGTACTAAAGTCCCGATGTGTGCTTCTACCAAACTAAATCTAGCGGTCTGTACTTCCTATTGTAAAAGCTTAAAACAGTGTTGCCTGACCTTTTAACTAAACCTAGCAGTCTGTACTTCCTATTGTAAAAGCTTAAAACAATGTTGCCTGACCTTTTCAGGACGGCTCGAATCCAGCGTGGCAACACACTCTTTGCTCTGTGGAGATGGTGCCTTCGGTGGTGGAGAGGGGGCCCTTAGTGATGGAGACGGAGCCTTCGGTGGGGGTGGCGGAAGCGACGTGTTGATATTCTGGGACTTGCTAGAAGCCTTGTCATGCTCTGGTGGTTAGTGAATGTAGTTGCAACTGACTTAACATGTTCTGCTGGCAACACTGGGCAATCGAAGAGAGGCACAGCAGGTGGCTCAGCAACGGTGTTGGGTTCCGCGTCTTGCCATCTGGTTCTGCGCCTCGATGATCTAGGCGTAGTTGAACCCTTCTCGGGACTCTGTGCAGGCAAAGCAACAAACTCATAGGCAATCATGAACTCATGTAAGGAACTTATGAACTTGTACAAATGGCATGACTCTACTTCAAGCTCCATAAAACCAACACCACCTACACCATGCAAGCATGAAAGAAGAGCCTTTTTCTTTTTCCCAATGCCAAAACGGTACGTACTACTGCAAGAGCATGCACACAATTTCTGCCGAGCATTTACAGTTGCTACAATACTTTTATGAGAAACAACCAGACACACTGCCAAGCTCCACAATAGATAGGTGCTGCGACAACACCAGGTTTCATTAGAATGCTGTTAGACCAATTTTTCTTGCACTCACTGACCACAGCATTAAAAATAAATTTGAAGAAAAGTAAGGTGCCATTATATTTTGCCATGTTTGTAGTGTTTGAAACACGTAATTATATGAAACAATCATCACTAAATAGGAAGTACTTATAAATACTAACATTTCTGAAACAGCAGCGGCCATGTTTGAGTTCATGGCGAAAGTCACTGCCATGCTACAGCCACCCTCGCATGCTGACAAATTACGAAAGCCATCAAATAAGAAATGCCGACTCCGATTCTTACATCAAGCGCACTACACTTGTCAGGACTGCTGTAGTATCGTCGGTCCCGATGGTCGGCGACTTTCGCCTCGCCTGGTGATGATGCTGTAGGTGACAAAAGGCAGGAGGGAGATGCAACAGTCTCGCTGTCAATAATTGGTGCTGCCTCTGCAATTTCTTGAGCCTTCGAGACAGAGTCCAGCAACCTGCCAGATGGCACTGATGTCAAGTTTTCAGTCTTCTCCAATGCTGGAGGAACTGTTTCAACATGAAGGGGGACCACGTCCGTTTCCTTGTCAGATTCGGTAGTACAATTTGCCTCGATCTGGCTGACAACTAAAGGTTCGCCTTCGAGTTCACAGGCCACTACTGCATGGTTTGACTCTCTGCAGGCTGTACTTTGAATTTCCGGGATACTTTCTTCAGTTGGCTCCTACAAAAATAAAAAAGTTCACTTATGAGTGCTTCACAGTGCTTCATCTGCCCCATTCTGTCCCGTTCCTGGCACTGTTACCCATTCTTTTACTACACACCAACCAGCTTATGTTTACACCTTATTGCAGATTATAATGGGGCTAGCATCCCTCATTTAAAGGGGATACGACAACAGAGATTGAAGCTCACATTACATTCAAGGTTACATTAAATGTTAACCCGTGCAGATCCTACAAAAAGCTGGCAATATTTTACCACGTCTGGCGTGATAGAATGTTTGTGTTCAAATTTTTTACCGCCACAGCTGAACAGTACAGCAGTGTGACAACAGTCAGCCCAGACAAAATGTAATGAAACCTTGGCAAGCAACATTCTTGAGTAACAGGAGTTGCTATCACAGGTAAGGTTTTTGGGAACAATAAAAACAAAGTGAATGAAAGAGATATAAATATGTTATGGCTGCCGTGCGTCATTGCGTTTATTCATGCATGTATCAACAGTTTGCTGCTGTTTATAGCGAGAGGAGTGAAGAAATTTCAGGCACAACGCAGCAAACAGTAATGCCCTTACTGCGCTGTTTGCAATCCGAATATCTCCAAGTGTATGTCCAATATGACACTACAGAGTAGTATCCTCTCACTTTGTGACATCACCTTCCAATGCCAAGCTGTTGGTTGAAGAGCAAAGTTGAGAGGGAGCAATTCCGATTTTATTTGAAAATGGGCCTTAAAGCAAAGCCTTTTCAGGAATGATCATGTTTAAAATGAATTAAATTCAGGAACTTTATGAGTCCAGCATGCCACAGCAGGGGGCTACGGGACTATTTTTTCGTGCTCAGGTTCTTCAATGTGCCCTTAAATCTAAGTAAATAGGTGTTTTTGCATTCTTTCCTCTTGAAATTTCATCACCATGGCCAGACGCCAAAGCCGCATCCTTCAAATTAGTAGTGCAACAATGCTGGCTATTTCCCTACTGCAGAAGTCCATACTAGGCCCCTCTACTCCTTATAAAATGAAAATTGTAAGATGGCTGGTAATCTATCCTGTAAGTAGAAACCAGTCATCAACATCAGGACAGTGGTGAGACGAAATTGACAATGTGCAGATGAAGCTGGACACACCAAACTAAAGATGTCTATATTTTGGGAAGTCTTGCAGTTAATGTTCTGCCATAATCACAACAGAAAAAAAAAAGATAAAAAATAAAGGTAAAGGGACACAAACAAATATTTTGTATACTGAGAATGTGGCCCTGCCACACTTTTTCAAGTACTAGCCATGGAATGGAAATTCTAAAGAGCTTATTGCCTCACGAATTCACTGCTGCAAAAATTTGTTAGAATCGGTTCAGTAAGAGTGAAGTTACGAAAATTTAATGCACGCAGCGATTTCATTCTCTCTTCGCTCTTTCCGATAGAAGTGCCTGAAGCTAAGCAGGAAGAGATGGCACAGAGAAGAATAACACATCACCCGTGCCTTGCTGCTTTGAGCCCTTTCTCTCTCTCTCTCTCTGTCTTTCTTCAAAAAGCAGCTTTTCAGTGCGATCGCATGCACACGCATGGACAAGGTGCAGCCTCCCACGGCGGCCCCTTAACAACCGAATTCCCTTAACGACCGAATGCGGCATGTTCCAATCAGCCATTGGCTGATAATCAGCTCTCCCAAGTGATTTTTGAGCTTGTTCCTTCATTTGTCCAGAGAAGAGAAAGCAATTTTCAGCTGACTGAGAATTTATTGTGAATTCCAAGCCATGCGCTGCGCTATAATATTTGGCCTGCGTGTCTTTGGGAGCCTCTAGTACCCACCGGCAGCGTTTTCTGACCATGCTCAAATAGCGTTGCAGGGCCCCTTTAAAGGAACACTAAAGGCAAATCTTTGTAGATGCTGATTGCTGAAATAGCCCAGGAACCTTGTAAGGCTTTCATACTAAGGAAATGCCTATTTTGCAATAAAATCACATTTTAGTGGTTCGCATTGCATTAGCGCCTAAAAGCAGATCGTGTGACATCACACTTGCCATGCATAATGTTGCCCACCTTTACTGTGCAGCCGCCGACACTAGTAACATAGTGGCAGAACGGAAGTAGCGGGAGCCACAACAGCAACAATTGCTATTGAACATTTTTCTGCTTGTTGTTTCAAGTGGGCCCCACTAGATGGCATCACTAATCCGGCCTAACCAGGCAAAAACGTAAATTTTGAATCACTCGTGCAATTCTCCATAGTAATGCCAGGTGGTTTCTTCTGTGAATCAATTCGCAACGAACAAGCAGCTTTTTAATGTTTTAATGCACAGAAGGTTATCTTATTACTGCAGCTGGTTTGCTTACCAGTGAATAATTGTAGTAGAGGACTTTGACATCGTTGGTATCATTTCAAAATGTCCCACTCGTGGCATATACAGTGTCATACATTTACCTTAATTTCTCGATTAGTAGAGCACTGCTGTTGATAATATTAATGTTTTAGATGTTCCCAAACATTGATATTTCACACTGACGTAAATTGTTATTTACCTTTGGTGTACCATTAAAAGCATGAACACTTACAATTCATGAGAATGCATGTCATACCTTTATTAGTATGCTATTCAAGCTTAATCGCGCACTGCTTCATGCAAGGTTCTGGCACCTCAAGGCACAAGCTACAGGGCAACATCTTTACGAACAGTGAAAGGTTTCAACACAGTAAAATACTAGAAATTCAACACCCAAATCACAAGTAGCAGATCATTAGGGTGGCTTGTTTGGCAATAGTTCTTGGTAAGAGAATACCAACAGTAGCAAAAAAAGCAAGATGAACTGAGACAAGATAAAAATACAGGACAGGAAGGATGGTGAACTATCAACTGACTAATTCGATGAAAACGCAAACAAGTGACTGTTATGAGCAAGTGTGCAAACCACACAGACCCTTCCACTACATGCTAGAATCACTGTCAAGATACCGATGCTCTCATCCTGCAAAAACACAGATGGCGTACTAAAACACTTAGCAGGGTCATGTTTGTAGATCTGAAACATGTGGGGTGCTGACAGCGCTGTAAAGTTGTTTGCGCCGCGTGGCGCACGTGTCTCGCCCAAAACCCGCATTTCGGGTCACAACCGCCGGGCGATAGGTGGCGTTGTGTTCGCGAGAGTTGGCCACCACTATCATCACAATCATGGGGTAGCGCCGGCAGTGATTGCTGGCGGAAGCAAGCCTTGGTGGCGGGCGAGAGTTGAGCGAGTCTCTTTTGCGCGTGGCACTTGCTGCGCACGGTTGTCTCTAGCGTGGGTCCTCGGCGCGTGGTACCGCGGCCTGCGCGCCGGGGGGCCCTCGTGGTAAGTCAAGCGTTGGCGCCGCTGCCTTGGGTGTGTTATTGTGTTTATCATGTTATTGTGTGTTTGTAGTGTTATTGTGTTATGTTGTTTGAGTGTAAGGTAACTTTGTGTAATGATGACTTAGCGTGTTAATTACAATTAAGGTATCATTTGGCGGACGATATCTTCGTTGTAAATTAGTTAAATAAATGTATGTGTTCTTTGGTTTGTACCGACCGCGTCTGCTGTGTCCGTTCACTCCAAGAGCATGGCGAGGCGCTCGCCTTGTCGAGATCCCACACTGGCCGCCGAACATGGAGCTTTTGGAGTATCGGATGACAGTTTTCGCGGTTCAGTACAAGGTTTTGTTCGAGCCGGGGAAAAGTAGGCCTAGGGGGACTTCTCTGCCAGCGTCAGTGGTGTACTTTATTGAGAAGCGAGGAGATTGGTTTTGGGACATGTTTGAATTTGTTGGCAGGTTGAGTTTTTATTTTCTTTTCTGCTTGCAAATTTTTTTGTGTTAGTTTTCAAAACCGTTGTTGAATTAGGACGAGAGCCATGCGGTCTGCATCCTGGGGTGAGCAAGGCCTGGAGCACGTGGTTTGTAGGCCAGGCGCGAAGCGAGTGAGTACGGAAGCCTCGTGGGTGGTCCGATTTTCCGTAAATAGCTTCTATCTCTTTGGGCTCAGGGAGCCGGGTGTCGTTGCTGTCTTGTATTGCAGCTCGACGCCGTGGCGTAGTGACACCACCCGGGGCGGTTCGTCGCGCCGACAGCAACATTGCTGTTGCGGGACCGGTATTGAAGTGAAGTCGAGCCGGACAGTGCAGCAGTGTCGACCGGCAGCGGTGTCATGGTGCAAGGACATTATGAAAAAACATGGGATGTCATTTTTTTTGTTAAAGCTTGTGTAGCTAATTTCTTTGTTTTTCGAAATATGGTTTTAACTAAGGTTGAGGGAGAATGTGGGGGTGCCGACAGCCCCTGTAAAGCTGTTTGCGCCGCATGGCGCACGTGTCCCGCCCAAAAGCCGCATTTCGGGTTAGAATCTCCGGGCAATAGGCGGCGTTGTGTTTGCGAGAGAGTTGGCCACCACTATCGTCATCATCATAGGGTAGCGCCGGCAGTGACCCCTGGCGGAAGCATGCCTTGGTGGTGGGCGAGAGTTGAGCGAGTCTCTTTGGCGCGTGGCGGTTGCCGCAAACGGTTGTCTCTAGCATGAGTCCTCGGCGCGTGGTACCGCGGCCTGCGCGCCGGGGTGCCCTCATGGTAAGCCAAGCGTTGGCGCCGCCGCCTTAGGTGTGTTATTGTGTTCCTCCTATTGTGTCTTTATATTGTGTTTGTTATTGTGTTTATATTGTGTTCTTAAGTGTTATTGTGTTATGTTGTTTGATTGTATGGTAATTTTGTGTAATCTTGACTTAGAGTGTTCATAACAATTGATATATCATTCGGTGGACGATATCGTCATTGTAAATTAGTTAAATAAATGCATGTGTTCTTTGGTTTGTACCGACCGCGTCTGCAGTGTCCGTTCACTCCAAGAGTGTGGCGTGGAGCTCGTTCGCCAATTCGAGACCCCACAAACACTTCCACGATTTTCCACTGCGTCTGTTTTTAGCCTTTCCAGACATCAAAAAGTTGCCGAATAGACTGTCGCAACCGCACGCCTCGCAACGAATGGGTAGATTTCCAACTGTGCCCATAAAAATTGAATTGGCGTGCTTACACATCCTATCATTCATCCTATCATTAAGACACCTGCCTAATTGTCCAATATATAATATCCCAAAGGTCAAGAGAATGCTGTAAACAACAAACATCTTGCACCTGCTGAATCTATTGACATTCGCAGAATCACACCCAAACGTAAAAGTACCATGCTTCCTAACACCCTTACATACGCTGGCCAAAATGCAGGGCACAGAAAAAAACTAGCTTTATGGCACTTCACTCCTTATGCGGCCCAAAAAAGCTGTTTCTTTCTCTTGGGCACGAGAGTAACCTGCATTTAGCAGCCTCTCAACCGGCTCATGAAAACCGCTCAGCATTTAATGCATAAAACTCTTTTACAACGCATTGGAAATGCAAAAGTTCACAATAGCCTTACAGCTTCAAGTGGGAAGACTCATACAAAAGAAGCATCTATTTAATTTAGTCCTAGGACTGTACATCCACCACATATGATCATGGGACAAAAAGTGACAAATATAAAAACCTGCATGAAATTATACAGTGGTTCTTCATGAGTGAAATGTAGGTTAATGGAGCATGACTGAAACGCTTGCAGCACACCACGAATGGCACTATCGAGGCAGTCATTTGGTTCAGTATTTAAAAGAATAAGAAAAGTCATTACGTACCTGAAGACATGGGAGACTCGATCATCATTAAAATTGTACACATAGTATTGTCAAATTTTACTAGGCATATGTTACATAACCAGCATTCTTCCTGTCATATCTATTTTTCTTGTCTCAGTTCATTCTGCTTTCTTTTGGCTTTTGGGGCTTTTGGAAACTACTAGCAGCAGTTACTAAATAGAATAAAGTTGGGACTCAATAGAAAGAAATATTAACAGCACAAAACCAATGTGGTCCATCTAAAATTGTTCTATGCAACATAACAGCTGTAGAAACATTAGCAGAGTTTAGTTTTCCTAATAATCAATTATTATAGAAGTTCTAAATTCCGTAAAACAAATTCAGAATGCAGAAACTGCCCATGAAGCCATCAAGTACCTCTACACAAGCATTATTTGGCATGCCATTATTTCAAATCAACACAATAAAATGAATGCTGTCTTACTACCCATGATATTCCCCCTGGCAAGCTCATCACTGAAGTCCAAGTTAAAAGACAGTGTTTATCTCACACTGCGGCTGATAATAATCAACAAATGAGAACCTAAAAAACTGGAATTACAAAAAGCTCGACATTTCATTCACTGGAAGCATTTGGAAACTCACCTTTTTCTCTGCTCGCTTTCACAGGGCAGAGACACATCAGCCGGCACCGCACTCACCACAAGCTCCTTCAGCTCAGGTTCCTCAGCAGCTGTGGAACTCACCAACTGATTCATGGCATCAGGAAATGTCTGCCAAGGTGGGTGCTTGCAGCTCCCCATCAGACACATCACTTTCACTCGCTACTCCTTTTGCCAGCTTTAGTCAAATCACTTTCACAGGCACTGGCAAGGGCCTGAGAGCCCTCAGCTACAGCATCACTGTCATGAGGTTCATCAATGAGACAGTCCGCTGCATCCTTCTCCATGTCCACACTAGACACATCCTGCATGCTTTCATCCTGGTTCACCTCAGGTTCCGTGTCCGCTGTTTCTAGACTTGAGGATGTGCTGCCCCTGTTCGAGGATTTTGCCTGTGCTGCTCCCGATGCTTGCTTTTTTGCCACAGCTGGTGGTTTCTTCGGTCGCGCCTTCTTGCTCGGACACGACTGGGCCACGCTGGTGCCTCGCCTCTTGTCCCCACTTCGCAACCTCACGCTGCGCTGGCGTGTGGCAGGGCCCTTGAAGTTGGGCATATCCTCGGATGCCCTTCGCCGCCTGGCCTTTGGCGACTGTGCAGTTGCTCTCCCCATTCTTCCTTGCTTCTGCTTGGTTTTCATGGATACCCCAGCTGAAAAGACAAGTTACAGACCTGTTGATTGTGAATCTGTACTGCACCCATGTGAGGCCTTCTCAAACATGTCTGCACTGTGTGCTTTTCTGCACAAATGTGCCATACATGCAGTGCAGCTAGAGGTCACTAAATGCGAGCACACTTCAGCACTTTTGTGCCTTTTATACTGGTGAACTCAATGCTATGATCATAGATGCCACTACCTCAAATATTCGCTATTCAACACTTGGCGGCACTGAAAAATCGAAGCCTGCTTCCCTTTGATTTTGCATCTCCTGTGCACCACATAAATAAAAGACTGCAGTAATGTGTTGGGAAAGATATGCAGACCCTGATATTACTCGTCATTGCAAATGGTAAATGTGATATTGAGAACATATTTTCCAGCTAAGTACATCTAAAAAAAAAAAAAAGCAGCGCATTGGGCTAGTTTGTATCCAGTTAGTTTTGCTGAAGAATATAGAACGAAAATCAACAAACGAGACCAACAGAGAACAACATTAAGGACTCTATACGCCAAGGACCGACATAGAAATGCTGAAAGCACCATGCATATCTGTGTACTACGTGTAATATTTCTTCACATGTTAAAAAACAAATTCCCATAACAACGCGATTGACCGTCAAAAACACTTTTATCCAGGGTTGGGAAGTTTGCTACTTTACGCCAATTTGGCTACTTCTTTAATCCGATGAAGGCAGCAAAGCTTCTTGTTACTTTACTCCTTGGCTACTTTCTAGTTCCCTCAACTGAACCAAATTATCAATTCTTGGCAAAGTCGCAGCCCCTTGTGTTCGAGTATGCTGTGTAAAAATGTCAATGAACATACATTTCCAGCTCCTTGATTGAAATTTGGTGGTTGCATTACACACAAAAAAAACCTTTAGATATGTTGTAAAGACTCTGAGCGTTGTCTGTGTGTAATATGGTCTGTTTATATAATAATTGTTGGGTTTTAATGTCCTAAAACCAAAATACGTTTTTGAGAGACACTGTAGTGGAGGGCTAAAAAAATTTTGACACCATGGGGTTCTTTAACATGCACCTAATCTAAGCACACAGGCCTCAAACATTTTCACCTCCGTCGAACACGCGACAGCCGTGACAGGGATTCGATCCAGTGACCTGCGGGTCAGCAGTCAGGCCCCATAACCACTAGACCACCATGGCAGCTCAGAGAAACTGTTGTGTGGGCCATCTCGTTCGCGAGCTTCTACTGCTGAACACCACATTAAACTGTAATTGGAATCAAACAGGACAATCAAAAGCACTATGCCTCAAGGAAGCTCTGCACTCGTCGACATCACAAACTGGATATCTGAATAACCATCAATGTTACTTCTTACACCTTACTACCTCCTGCAGCTCTGAAACAATAACTGCTTGGAATTTATCATCACGTGAAAAGCAATGACAAAAGAGGCTTCAAACTATGCTTCTATCCTAGCAACTGTGATTTTGAGCGCACTTCAGTTATTTTTGTTGTCGCACAAGACTGATACTTCTAGCCCTTTTAAGCTTAAGGGGAGATGCTACTCGAAGACACTTTTTTTTAATATTCACCCTAGAGCAATGAAACTTGAGCTGTTTATGGAACTTTTTATGGTAATTTCAAATATATAGTTAGTTTTCTTGCAAGTTGCATACTTACAGCTCTGCAACATGACAAAATGAAAACCTTAACCCTTTTCTCCCCTCTCTTTTCATCCCTAAACTTCCATAATTTTTTACCATTCATAATTCATAATGTTTCAAATAAAGTGTAGAATACAAATAACTAATTAAGAAGCACATACAAAATACGTAATAGGCATGAAAAAATAATAGACGTAAAAAAGTCCATATTTCACCTACCCTAATAAAGGTTTACATAATTCTTTATTATAAAATGAAATATTGAAATTTAAACTAGATAATTGTAGTTGTCATACTTTGGGAAAAATTTGGACAAAATTTCATGCAGATCGGAGCACTAGAAGGGCCCGAAAAAGAAGGGGCACATTGAAAAAAAAAAGGGCAAAATTTGTGTTTTGAGAAAAAAAAAGTTTGAAAGTTAAAATTGAGTTTTTATTTATCAAAGATGTCTATAAATGCGATGCAATTTACACATCAAAAAGAACAATTCTTCTTGTAGTGGCCACTGCCACTAAAATACGCCAGCACCATGAGTTTGTCTTTCTCTGCTTTTTCGAGCAGACTACTCATAAACATTTGGTTCAGAGACATGGTCGTGAAATGCTTGTCAAACTTCTTCCGCTCCATGTGGCAGAGTTTTGTGCCGACTGCAAGCTAGGAAGAAGTTCGACAGGACTTCAAAATCTAAACTAAGTCCAGTGTCGAGGGACACAGCAGTGCCAATACCATTTCGCGTCCACGTTTGTACCACATACCGTTGTACATAATGGCAATGTCGTCCCCGCTAAGCTTCCTCACTGTGAACTCCTTCGACCTCACAAGATTGGCACTGAAATCTTCCATTGCTGCATCACGAACTTTCCGGCTGATGGCTGTGAATGACTTTTCATGCATTGGCAAACATGGCTAGCAAACAACTGCCGAAAATTGGTCCAGCTGCTCGTAGCCTATTCCTACAGAGCACGCCGCCACAACGGCTATCACGCACGAGCAATGGCTTCTTTAATTCATAACGAAGATAAATACACGAGAAAAGCATTGTTGACCTGCCCTGCTCGACAAGACATGGACCCCGCAAGTAGGCTTCACAGCACATAAAGGCGCGCAGTGGCCAATGGCGGTCCCCAACCCATACCACTTAATAAGCCAGTCGTAGCACTCGAAAAATTCTCAAAAGCATGCTTCTTTTTATTATTTCTTGCGCCGCATCGGCGACGGAAACTGTCGTTATTTTAAGAGTGAGACTCGACTCTTTGCCTCATGCGAACGACAATGGCGAGCGGCGGTGCATTATCGGCGGCAAGGTGCTCAAAGACTGCACACTTTGGGCCTTTCAACAGACACCTTGTGCTCTTTAGACGCAATTTTAAAGCATTTCCAGCCAAGTCTCAGCATGTTTTTTTTTGTTGTTTTTTTTCCCAGAACAGTAGAGCTGATAAATACAGGCGAAAATTAAAAATCGGCAATTTTGAAGAAAACTCGCGTTTTTCAACCCGCGCCTCCCCTTAAAAGCCCCACTCTATGCATGAAATGATTGCTATAGTCGCCCTACATTGTTGCAGTTATAAATGAAATAGATCACCAGATTTGTGTATTGGAAACCATCAAGCACGGCACATAGGTCTAGCAGTAGTGACCATGTGGATAATGTACAAAATTGCTTCATGGTATGAAAATAGTAGAAACTGCAAATGTATCTTCCCTCATTCAAGAAATTCAGGAGTCCTTGCTCTATCATAAAAATGGGAGCAAACAAAGCTTTGCATCTGCGTGACTCACCTACCACTTATCTGTCTATACCATTCCAAACTGCTCTATCCTAATTGTTTTCTTCTTCCATGCTGGAAATCAGATTTTGCTTGGCACTGCAACACTTCAGTTGCTACAAGCAACAATGATCATGTGTTCATCATGCCCAAGCAACAATAAGTGTGGAAATGGGAGATGACAATTCATTATACCATAAGGTTAAAATATGATGTATATTTGAAGATTTTTTTCTGAATATAAATAAATTTAGTTGCAAGAGTCTCGTGTCCTTCTTGTCCCCTTTGCTTCGGTAAATGTGCGCTACTTCAACGTACAGTTTAATGATCGGTCACTAGCTAGCCCAGCTCTCAACCTCATTGAGATGACAATTACTATCACCTCGATGCAACACCGGATTGCAATACCATAACAGCCGATTGCAGACAAGCCCACAGTACAGGGAATATCAGTTATTGAAAGCCAACAATTGCTGCAAATCAGACCAGCTGCTCGTAGCCTATTCCTACAGAGCGCGCCGCTACAACGGCTATCACGCACGAGAAATGGCTTTTTTTCATTCATAACAAAGATAAATACATGAGAAAAACATTGTTCAGATGCGCTGCTCAACAAGACATGGACCTCGCAAGTAGGCTTCACAGCACACGAAAACGTGCAAGGGCCAATGGCGGTCCCCAATCCGTACCACGTTATAGGTCAGTCGTGGCACTCTAAAAACGCTCAAAAGCATGCTTCTTTTTATTATTTCTTGCACCACATCAGCGAGGGAAACTGTCAATATTTTAAGAGCGAGACTCAACTCTTCACCTCATGCGATCGACGATGGTGAGCGGAGGCGCATTATCAGTGGCAAGGTGAAGAAAGTGGGACACAGCTTCAAAACAATGTAGAATGCAGAGAAAGTACACTGCTTGTAGACACCAGGCAAGACAAAGGAGGCGGGCGCCGGCAGTGACTCTCATAACCCTGGCAACAATGTAACTGGACAGCTTATACCCGTGCCACACGGGCAGAGAAAATGACATTTACCCCCGAATGCCTTCAGATTTATTGCCATTCGCGCGGTGCCACACGGGCGAATGAAATGGAATTCGTCCAAATGCCATTCGCCACCAAATGCCTTCGCAAGAACTCAGTTGACTGAGAAATGCCTACTCTCGACGACACAGCTCGCGAAGTGCGATTTACCTTAAAGTAAATAAAACAAATCGTATTCAGCTAAAAATAAAATTTCCCGTCTTTTATTTGCACTAAACTCTTAAAAAAGTGCTTTGAACGTTATACGAAGATCAGGTTGAAATTGTTAGAAATTAATGGAAGTTCAATGTCCTGAAGCTGGCGCATAATAACTCGTCTCTGCCCCAGAATTATTCCCTCTCGAGCACGATGCTTTGCACGGAAACACACAAGTGCTGCCGTGAAAAAATGAACTCTGCGAACATCTTCTTCTGAGAGATGCGACAGGTGCCATTTTCTATTTACGCTGTGGATCTGACTAGTGTTGGCTTAGGTTGCTATGGTCGGCTGCAAAGTCGTAAAACAAAGCAAGAAACTAAAACTTAGGGCATACTAATATGCTTATTTCTACTTTTAACGATTATCTAATGTGTATGAAGCTTGTAAACGCTTGTTTATTTTTTTATTGCTATTCACCCAATGCTCAGTTGGAAGGTGCTGCGATCGACATCATCAAGTCAAATGCCATTCACTTTGGACGTGTAGCAGCGCCGCCAAAACAAATGTCATTCAGGAACTCAAGGCCTTTGCCACCGAATGTCATTTTCTATGCCCTTGTGGCACGGGTATTAATTTATCATAAAAATCTAATAATGAACATTCTCTTTTGAATGTTTTGTTAAAATGGCCCCCTGGGTGGTGCCTTGCAAGCTTCTGTGTGTAACCATATTTGCAATAGGTCTTGGCCTTTGAAAGCTCTTTGGGAAAGTGGGCAACATTACAAATGAAACCTGGCATCTACTCACCATCACTTGACGATGTCTGGCTGTCGGCTGCAGATGTCACACTCGATTCGTCCTGCACAGAACTATCCACAGAATGGCCCGTGTCATCATCATCATCATCTGCCATCACTTTCACATCTGTTGTGGTGGCTGAGTCTCCCGCTTTACTGTCTCTAGGGTGCTCACTACTGTCCTGCATCGACGAGAGAGCTACCGCACAGTTCTTAGCCACTGCACCACTGCAGTCCCCACTCGCAAGAATGTCATTCACACTTTCCGGCACACTGTCCACCGTAATGCCCATGAGACATGATGGCGCTTGTCCATCGCAGTGGTCCTTCTGTGCAGACTTCGCAGCTATCTTGCCCTTGATGCACGGGCGAGTCGTACTTCGAGCCGCCTTTGTAGCGGCCACAAGATTCGGTTCCACCTCGTCATCTTCCTCCCTGCATGAAAGATAGATTTATTTATTTGCTTGAGAAAATGCAAACAAATCTTGGCTCTTGCACTTGAATGTCTGTTTAAATGCATTGTAAATTGGGTTTTGTAAACGAAATTCGAAAATAGAGCGAAAATGTGACAGAATTGTGATGTTGCACAAGCTTGTCTCCTGTGTGAGCATCAAAGTACGGAACACATACAAGCTCATCCACTTTCTAGGGTAAATTACTTAGTGTGGAAGCTTAGCTTTTTCAGTGGAGAAAAGTGTCTTGCAAGACAATACCTATCGATGAAGTTGATAAATTGAAGAAGCTTTTTTTTTATGCAAAACACCAGCTCTTGTTGAGCTCTTGAATAGTAATGAGGAGTAAATGGACCCGTTTTCAATGTGCTCAAATGAATGGAGCTACATGACAGCTAACCATGTTAAGATATTGGGGCGGACACAAGAAAGACTGGCACAAGAAAGAAGACAACACGAGCAGTTGCCTACACTGACGACAGCCTTTAACTGACACGAGAGAGGAAGAGGGCAGCTACAGAGCACGAGGCTGCGTCGTGTGTTACAAGAGTTATGTAGCCGTTCTGTGCATGGTAACCCCCATTGGCTGTCTACACGTACTGAGGGCGCAGAACAATGCTGGAGCTGCCACGACTGCATATGAAACCCTTGTTGTAAATTAGAAAGATGATAAAATGGAAGAAGCCAGCAAGGTTGCTTCAGGAGGTTTACTACGCACCACTGACACAAAAAACTAAAATCAGGGTATGGGGAGTCATGCATGGTAGGTGGCCAGCAGCAGTTGGAATCGCAAATGCTGGTGGCCCGATGAGTAGACTATACCATGAAGACTTAAGTTATTTAACATAATAATAAAAATAATAATAAATGCTGACATAGAAACCCTTGCAATTTCTTACTAGCAAAAGGAAGCCAGTGTTTGCCCACACTTTACTTCGTAAACGTGCTCTTCCCGGGTAGTGCTCACTTGAAGATCACGTTGTTTTGCTCTGGTAATGTAAATACTAGGTTAATTCTTGAAATAATCTATCACTGTTTCCTAATAATGTAACATGTTTGAGAATTATTGTAGAAACCACCAACAGAAACACACACACCATGCAGCGCATGTCCCCGTAACAAATTGCGATACTGTATTTAACTCTTAGGAAATGGGAACAAAACACCGCATTTCTTTTGCCGAACGCCGAAGTTCTTCTGTCTTGCCTCTACTAAGATGGCAGCCGCAGCAGTCATCTAAGGGTGGTTAATGCTTCCTTATGTGGCATCTATATTTCCACTCCATATATATATATTTTTTTAGACCTTTGTGATCGCGCCGCATCATAAACGGCAACGCACAGAGACCGCCATGCAAGGCGCCAGTGCGCCAGGCTCACCCGAACAGTCCGAGGACGAAGGCGGCCGGACCGTAGCAGGGCCCCAGAAACCAGCCGCCAAAGCCCACCGTTCGCGAACAGATCTCCATGGCGGCGCGTGGCGAGGTACGAAAACACCGACACCAAGGCAGCGCGCGGCGTGCGGCCAACCGTTCCCGAACGCTGCTGGGCGCGCACTGCTCGCCGGCAGTGCACGGGCCACGAGCGACCGTACCCCCCCCCAGAAAAAGCTTGGCCGGCGCCACCGTGAGGCGATTGAGAGATTGCCATCACAAAACCGATGGTCGAAACTAACCAACCAACATTTTGTTTCACTTCAAAGGCGCGCGGGACAGCAGCGCTTCGCGTGCCAGCGCCTTGGCTAAAGCACTCGTCCGCGAAGGCGCCGGGAAATAAAGGCGGCTAGGGAGAAACGGGGACGCAGCAATCTCTTCCGACGGGACAACGGTCTGCATTGGCACGCACAAAAGACGCGACCTTTTTTGAAAACTTCGAAGCTACACAGGCGAATGAAACAGAGGGAGGGAGAATGAGCGGGAACGCGCGCGCGAGTGAAAAGACAACAAAATGCCAGGCACGGGTCTCGCAAACAAGCGTCGTAAAAAAAACGAGAGACGGACCTCTACTTTCGAGCCGGCGACATGCTCGCGCGACCACTCGCCATGCCCGCGGGGCAGGGAACGGAGAAAGGAAGCTACGCGCGAGCTGCGGCTTCAAAGAAGAACGCCGCCACTGCAATCGCCTCGGAGTAGGATTAAAAAGGGAGCCGAACGTCTCTCGAGTTCAGAGGGCAGTAAAACCAATGGCCTAACAGAGGGATACGCGGGAAGCTAAGGCCGACGAAATGAACACTTTTGTCGCGTGCCGCCTAAGGCAGTTTAGGGTACGGCGTAGACATAGAACGCACGTGTCTGGCCCGAGTACACACAGACGACTGTACCCCCTGTCAGCGGCGTGAACAACGGCGTTACATTCTCTGGGAGCCCCTTGCACGATGGTTTTTCTTTTCGCCAGGCATAGTGCCCCCTATAGAACAACGTCCTCTTCTCCCAGCGCCCTTAAAGTGTGGGTACGATGGCAAACGCAGATACACGCCAGTTTCGGCGGGGCATCTTTTCCTTTCGTCGGGACGAAAAAAAAAAAAAGTGGAACACGTGCGGTAAGCGCTGAAAAGCCGGAAAAAAAAGAAAAAAGCACAAAATCTCCACGAGGATGAAACCTCTAGAGCTCAGTGTCAGGTGCAGAACCGGCACGACACTCGTGCGCGAGTGGACGGACGCAAAGCCTTGTACGCGAAGTTTCAGCAATGACACGGGAACATTTAGCGATGTTCTACGCTAGTGCGATGCCAACTACGAAGTAACGCAGTAAGGATTCCGCCCCCCCCCCTTCTTTTCGTGCAATATGTCTGTAGAACTTGCAGAACTGCTCCGCAATGCAGGGATCATGACTTGCAAAACAACACACGATTGTGCCTAGTGTGGGAAACTCGACACACAGAGGCAGCAGCAGCTATGACAACATGTGCAGATTAGTTAGGGGGCTACATGATTTATCTTGTTCGAGTACTGCTGTACAGCTCCTTATGTGCGTTCAGCATGATCTTGTAACAAAGATCATCAAGATTATATTGATGACAAAACTGTGCTTTCAGCCGAATAGATAAGCCCTCAGATTAGCAGAAATAAGGGTGACAAAGCGAAAGCCAACCTGTAATTTAGAACACGAAGGGGCGTTCACAAAGTTCATACTACTACTACTGTCATCAATGGAAAAAACCCCCGTCAACCGATTAAGGGACACTAAAGTCAAATAACAATTTACATGAGAGTGAAAGCCCAATGTATGACTTCTAAAACAATATTATCAACAGCAGTGCTTTATTTACCAATTAAGATAAATGCATGAGAACACATGCGCTATGCGTAGGGCATTCCAAAATGATCCTGACGACGCGAGTGGTACCGACTACAATTAGTCACTAGCAATCGATTGATTGATAGATATGTGGGGTTTAACGTCCCAAAACCACCATACAATTATGAGAGACACCGCAGTGGAGGGCTGCAAAAATTTCAAACACCTGGGGTTCTTTAACGTGCACCCACATCTGAGCCCACGGGCCTACATCATTTTAGCCTCTATCGAAAATGCTGCCGCCAAAGCCGGAATTCGATCCCGCGAGCTGCGTGTCAGCAGCTGAGTACCTTAGCCAGTAGACCACCGCGGCAGGGCTCACTAGCAATCGAACTAGGGCTCACTAGAATCAAGAGACATAATAAGAAGCTGCTTGTCCGCTTGTTTAATGAAAAAAATTATTGGACATTACTAGAGAATGGCACAAGTCATTGAAAGTTCAATTTTCGCCTGGTTAAACTGGATAGGTCGTGCCATCCAGCAGGCCCAATGGAATCAAGCACGTCTGCCATGTAGGAGGACATGGCAGGAAACTCTTCAATGGCCATTGTTGCTGCCGTGGATCCCGCTATTTTCGTTCTGCTGCTACTAATGTCGGCGGCGCACAGTACAGCCGGGCAACGTTGTGTGGACCCCCATGCGGACCTCTATACCGTAATTTTATTTCAAAATTAGCACTTGATTGGCATAAAAGTAACAGTGCGATGATTCCGGATCGCTATTTCAACAATCAACGTCGACTTGATAGTTGCCTGTAGTGTTCCTTTAAACTATTGATAGCTGTCTTGCCTTAAATGTTAAAGAGACCGACAACAAATTTTTTTTCGACCTTTTTTTTTCCGGCGCGACTGAAAGCTTACCCTTCGCAATGTTCGCAGCTGCAGTAGTTACTCCCAAAAGCACGTAGTTATTTTATAAGCAGTATTTCTCGATTTGAAAGGCTCTGAACACGGAGATGCCTTTTTGTCCAGCAACTTACGGTGACTTGTGCATGCTGTCATTGTTCTGCTTTCGCAGTAGTTCCTGTACCTATGCTTAACCACGTTTATTCTGAGTTTTACAACTATTTTCGAAAATAACCAGCTGCTACAATGAGACAATGCGGCTTTATACAGCTTCCCTGTATTTGTATTGCGTTGCGTGTGCCCAAGGTTGATGCGCTTATGTCGCGGATGGCTTGTTCCGTCGTCATCACTCTTTCGACACACGAGCCTAGTCAAGTCACCAAAAAACGTCACTACGCGTTATTTCTGAGACACAGTGTAGGTAAAAAAAAAGAAAAAAAAAAACGCGTCACTCAAAAATCTTAAGCGACCTGGAAACTGTATGCTCGGTTTCATGGGGACGTAGAAAAGTTGCTGAAGATGCGCTGATGAGCACAGGATCATTACGTCATGCGAAGGTAGCGCCACTTTATTGCGCACTACTAACGCAGGCCTATAAGTGCATTTTTTTGGAGCAATATCTTCTACTATAGAGAAACACACAATATTTAAATACTAACAGGAAAATTTCTGACCACGGGCACTAGTTTAGGTCATGTGACAGGGCAGCTTGGATAATTGAAGTTGGCACCACAGGCTTTTTTGCGATTTATTAATGAAGAAAAAATATAACTGCACTTTTCACGAGAAAATAGGGTTGGTTTGAATCCCCACAAGGGACAATCATTCCATCCGTGCAGTCA